TAGCCCCTTAGGAAGGCCTGATACTCAGGCTACCATGTTCTTGGCCTTAAAATCGCTCTTATTCTTCTGCTCAGACATTTTTGAACCTTAAACTTTTCGAATCTCAAACAGCGAAAGGGAAATAACATTTATAAATTAACGCAAACTTGAAATAGGGAGTGTAGTTCGTACAAGTACAGTATATGGCAGAGAACGAATGTCCGAACTTTGCGGGTTTGTTTACAACAAAGGTCGTCAAAAGTCACGTGAAACTACACGTGAAATCTGACGCTCAGAAGGTAGGCTTTTGTACATTATGCTTTTGCTTCCCTACTAAAATGCTCCACCTTAATGCTCCATTTTTCCCACTAAAATGCTCGGTCTCCCCAAAAAAGTCACTAAAATGCTCGGATAATGCTCATTATACAAACGGTTTTTTTAAATTAATTTCAAAGTTTACACTTACCAAAACGTGCAAGTGTTTCCCATTAACAACGACAACGTGTAAAAGTTCATAAATACAGCCAAAAAAACCAGCTTTATTAGGTTTTTTGTGAATTTTGAATTTTAGTCTTCGTTTTGTTTAAAAAAGCAGGAGCTCATGGGGCATGGGCTCCTGAAAAAAGTTAATTTCTACATTATTTTCTCGGAAAAATTAATTTTCCGGGGAAAAATGCCACTGAAATGCTCGAATAATGCTCAATGCTTTTGCCTTTTTGCCTGGTAGCCTAATGTACAAAAGCCTATCAGAAGGTGAATTCACGCTGCGGGACCAAGGCATGGGCTAGGGTTTGTTAATAATTAACCAACGAATTAAATCAAACCAACTGGGAGCAGGTCGTTGAATTGGTTCGTTATAAACCCGTGGAAGGATGATGCTGAAGTTATGAATATATGAAAAAAATATATGAAAATCATATATGTGAACTGGGGACCCAGAAAAAGTATACCTTTCCCGTTCCCTTCAAGAGAAGTAACAGATACAAAGATTGTGTGATCATTTTTCCGAGACCAAATTTCGCGCCCCTTGAATTGAGGTGTCCCAAGGGAGAGGTTCCACTGTAGCAAAAAGGCACTTTTAAAAAAACGTGGGCTTTTTACATTTAAGGTATTTTACATGACTCGAACCCTACAAGCTAGCCCTTTGCCTGCGTGCAGACGTCTCCTATTTCCTTTGTTGAACGCCGTTGAACGCGTGCAACAAAGGAAATAGGAGACGTCTGCACGCAGGCAAGCTAGCCCTAGGCACAACACCGCACCTGCACCTACAAATTAAATTACAGCGCTTTTTAAAAGCATTTAATTTAGTAGGGTTTTCTAAACCCTAAAGGTAACTATCGTTAGATAAGGGTCGGATCGAGGGTTCCAGATTAAAAAAAAAAGTAGTCAATCCCGATGGATGGTAGCCTGAGAACAGACTTATTTCCGGTCATCACTTCCAGTTCTCAAGCGACGGCCGGAAATACGTGTGCAGGCTACCAGTATGATTAAATTACTACATCCCTAGATTGGAGCCTACAGTAACGGGGATCTGTTCTATGGAAAAGGATTTCCCCCGTGTTCAGAACTTTGCCGCCTTAAGAAACTTCAAGACCTCACTGAATGGGAAAGATTGTTATTTTCAGTTCTGAATATGATAAAATCCGTACTTTTATGATATGTATATTATGCATGTACATTCTTCTTATTTCTATATCTAAGTTATGTCTAGGGTACCCTGGGTGCCAGAGACTTTTCTAGCGCGGCCAACACAAAAAATTCCCACTACACGCGAGAAAAACCTCTGGTACCCAGGGTAAGTCTAGGGTTATTAGTAATGAAATATAGATGTCTTTTACTTTTATTATTGTAGAGTATTTTATGTCATACATCGTAGATAGTTAGACACGATTCCTAGGAAGACCACTTTTTCGAACTTTTATTGTGATAAGATTTGGTGTATAAACAAGAAGACGCCCGAAGGCGCTTACGCGGGATGTGTGGGTTTCAGAAAGAATTACGGTTATGTTGGATGGCAATGGAAAGCTGTGCAGTGTATGCAACAAATGTGTGCAGGAGAGACGGAGATGTTCTGTTAATTTATAAGGACTAATACACTAGAAGATGAGTTACACACAAGGGTTCCTTTGCTACTCAAAACAAAACTTACATCAATATTACCGCCATATATCTTAGTAGTATGGGGTAGTTCACTAAAATTTGCATTCTTTACTAATGTCCTCAAAAAATGCGCTTCCACATTTAACAATAGCATGTAATGTATCATACTTCCAATAACTACAGGGCTTCAAGGAAGTGTTCTAGGGAAAACTTCAGGGAGCCCTTTGGGCTCCCGAAGCATTTTTAGCTGGGGTGCCCGGGCCTCCAAGTTGGTCGCCCAAATTAATAAATCAATGAGCTGTTAGTTAATTATTAAAAATTAAACAAATTATTTTCTTAACAAGTCAAGCAGAAGTCTGTGAATATTTTTTTCATGAAAAATCACATCCCTTTGACCTCCTGAGCGTGCGAAAAAAAAAAAAAAACCCGCATGTTGTCATATGAAAGTAAGTTTTCGCGCCATATGAGAAACATGGACAACGCCGCCGAACATTTCATGTTTTTTAAATGGCAAAGTAAATTTGGGGTCAAAAATAAGGGCACTATTCTTTCGACTAATCATTTTGATCTAGGTTGAAAAGAAAATTCGCTTATTAAGATTGACTGAGATCCCGTGGAGCTTTCCAGGAAAACTGTTATGATTTCAACGAAACCGCGGCGCCCCCCGGGGGGTTACTTGCGTTAATTTTTGCTGGGTATGTGCCGCTGGCCTCTCAGAGCCCCTAACCCATTATAGTCTTTTCTGTGGCCAATTGTAGACCCCACATTAGTCACTCTTGGGCAAATATGTAATTTTTGCGATCCCAACTTAGTCACTTTCTATTTACGTATCTAACTTATCAATCCTTTAAATAGGTCATCAAAAAATGAATTGACCCATTTTTTTAATAAATTGAATGAAGAACACTTTACTTTTCACCTACAGTACAAATATCCTGATACGTTTGCTAACCGTAAATATGAACAGCTCTCTTACCCCCAAAAGTAGTAACTCTTTTGAAAATGCAACCCCATTAATAGTCAATCTAGTCGTGAAAATGCGACCTCATCCAGCGGCACATCCCCATTAGCCTCTTTATAAGGAAGTGCCCCCCCACCCCCCCGGGCCGCCCTAAAACCACTATCTCTTTTGAATAGATTATCTTGTTGTAAAGTCGTCGTTTAAGCGCAAAAAGGAAGTATTTTCTTTCTATATTACCGGTGAAATGTTCGGGACAAATGTAGATTCGGTTAGCTTTTGCGTATTTATTTTTAGTACGTGATACGTAATGCCTTGTCACGACACGAAAGACAATGCGTGATTTATACCCGATTCTAGAACAATCACAATTACTATAGTCGTTTCTTTTCTTTTTTATGCATCGTATTTTACTGGAATAACAATCTTAGTTATGTTTTAGCCTCACAGACACAGCAGTAAAAAAAGGTAAAAATATTTAAAGAACACAAAAGACCGACCCTTGTTTATTCAGCGATTTTTCAAAATACAAAAATATTGTTTTGCGTCGCCGACCGTACTTCACGCCTGTCAGAGCAAAAGTAACAATTTGTTTTGAAAAACTAACTAATGAACAATCGTAATTTGAAGAAAAAATTTCAATGTTATTATGAAAAGCTGTTACTATCGAAAACTGTGCAGCTTGTCACGTTCATAGTCAAGGATTATGTTACATGTGAATTCACGTGAAACAACCTTTGAATTCGAACATCAACGCGTGCCCGCTGCCCGATTTAACAACATTTTCCTAAAGCTTTTTGATAGACATGCTACTTATTGCTACTTACAAGTCGACCTCAAGAGTTTCTTAGCGAGCGGAGCGTTCTTTTTAGGCCGTTAAGCCACCGAGAGAGCTACGATTTCGCAAGTCAATAAATTCTAGACATTCTTAGCTTTTTGACTGTAACTCAACAGAGACAAGAAACCAACACCAGCAAGTCGCCCGGCTGGGCCACCTAGACAATATTTTCAGTCGCCCGAGGCCAAGTCTTGCGCCGTATTAAGAGCACGGCCTTGAGTCTTCGTCCTCCTCTACACGGTGACCTTACTTTTCCCTCCTTTGCTGACGCAGTATCCTTTTTCCGCTTGTGCAATCCAGCCTGACTTGCACGTGCTTCGACGTTGCGGCCAATAAAAATCCACACAATTTTTCGGGACGGGCACGGGATACGGGAAAGTTAAAAAAACAAGGCAATTTTTGACTCCCAAGACGACGAAAGGAATGTGCTACCGAATTTTAGACGCTGGCTGACTACGTCATCCCGCGTAATAAAGCTGTTGATGATGAGATGATGATGAAGTTCCACCCCCAACAGCTTTCTCGCTTCGCAGGCTAGAATCTCAGTAATTTTCAATTACAATTTAGATAATTTAAAATTCGACACGTAAAAGACATAAAACAAATATTAAAAATACAAAGGAGACAAAAGAATATAATCGGACAGGAATAAACGCGTGACAATTTGATAGAGCAATTTAACAAATGCTCAATCAATTGCTAGGAAACGGAAGCAAGAAGAGAGAATGCATGGATTTATTTCCCGTTGTGGTAAAAGTTAATAATCCAGTCGGTTCAAGGGTAAACGTGTTTAAATTAAGAATACAACGTCAATGTTGTAAAATAAGAAATCTTTCGATACAGCCGAGATCTACTGACACTGTGTTTTATGTCACGCAAATTTAAAGTTTGGATCACCTATAATCTCATCGATCGGTAAATAAAGCGAAAGGAAAGAGCCAAATAATGGGGGAACGGAGCGTTATACCTATTGAGGAAAATCAACACTCTGTGGTTGCCAAGATTTGTAATCCGTGGACGTGGCGACTCGCAAATGTTGTCATGGCTTTGTTTTTCGCTTTGGCTGCATATGTTCAGGTGAGTATCGAAATTTGTTGCATTGTCTACTGAAATATTTCTTGCTATGATTTAAGGCCCGAAAGTTACAGTGAAAATTAGCCAGTCGATCGTCTGACGGTTTTGCAAAAATATCGCGGTTAAAACTTTAATAGACTTTCTTAAAGTACTCTGAGATTCGCTGTTGGTTCTCTCTTCTTGACTAAAGCACATTTTCTGCACTTCAATAAACTTGGCACTTTGACGCAGTCGTATCTGTCTTTGTCAGTTAGTATTCCTGCTGTACGATACGATACGATGCATGCATGAGTACTTAAGTGCCTTTTCCATTTAGAAGGATATTTTGAGGTCTTGAGGTTTTTAAAAAGTAATATAAGAGTAAAATCGGTTTGTGTTTATTGGTTAAAATACAGTGGAACCTCGGGGGGGATATCTCGACCAACATTTGGGTAAACTAGAGTGAGCCGCTGAGGGTTTGAAACCCTGACCCTGTTTGGGACAAAAACAGCCTAAAATACATGACCATACCTAGCCTGTTTAGGACAACCACCCTCAATTTTATAACTCTGTTTAGGACAAAGGAAAAAATGCATTCCGTCTTGTTTGAAAGCCATTCATTGGCAATTGCAATAGAGAAAATTCATGTCATAATCATTGCTTTTTTATACAAAATTCATGTAGGAAATCAAATCAATCGTGCAGGATATGCCCTTTTAACAGACTCTTACGAAATTATATACCTTCTTTAGGGCAAAGAAGTCAAAAACCATACCCTATCCATTGGCACATCAACATATAGGCCACATAATTATTATACTACAATAGGGCAATGGACAAGAGATAGAAACTTAGATGATTTCTTTCCAGTGAGTTGAGATTTATCCAGTGGATAGCCGTATCCACCTCAGTTTTGGCCAATGGGAGCCTTCAGGTCTGCAAAGCAAGTGAGACTGCAGGGCCCCCTTGTCCACGTGCACCCCCCCCCCCCCAACCTTCAATGTCCTTAAGTCTACAATAGGGGTATCCGAGGCTTATTAAATTTCATCTTTATTTTTATTGACAGACAAATGACCCAGATCCGGTAATTTGGGTGGTAAGTATTTATGTTAATTCAGAAAATATATTGCAATTTATATATTTCTTTATAATAAAGGGCAAGAGCTGAGCATTGCAGTAGCATGGAAGGACTTAGTATAGACAAGTTTGTAATGAGGCATAACACATTAATGTTTTGTTTTTAAAATTAATTCAATTTCAGCTAATGTATGCAATTCCTTGTCTACTCTGTATGTCTTTGGTGGCTAACTCATCATTACAAGGTATTTTAATACTTTCTCATCATCATCATTATCATGATCATCATCGTCATCATCATCATTGTCAACATTAGTTTAATTAGTTTTTTTTCTAAAGTGCTTAATGTAACTTATAGTGAAACATTTGTATGGGGACCATACACCACTAGAAAATAATATCAATACCTTAATAAATAAGTACACTGTATGGCCCACTAAAAAAGTTTCTAAAAATGAAGTTATTAAAAAAATAATATTTGGTCTTAACAGCCTTTATTGCCCAGTCATAATTAATAAGATCTTAACAGTTATTAAAGGTAAAAAGCCAATTTCATGGCTTAGGGTAATTGCCCTACTAACAATTGGCATCAAAAAATGTGACAATCACACAGTGTGAACCTTACTTTCAAAAACGTTTAAATGAAACTGCAATATTTTTTTCTTTTCTTTTCTTTCCAGTCTCATGTAAATATTATTTATACATAAGATATGTGCAGACATGCTTTAGCGCTATTCCCTTGCTCCTTATCAGGTTATTATAAGTAGGATCTAATGCTGAATTTTTCTTTTTGGAAGATCACTTTCTCTGGAAACTAACAGCTGCCATTCACCTTGGTGTATGTAGCGTTGGAGTGACCTACTCATTCAGTGTCTTACTTTCATCTGAAACTGGCTCAAAAAACCTTCTGAAATCTGAAGAGGGGAGGTAAAGATAACACTAAACCTGTAAACATTTTGATCTTCACCAGAAAGCTGGAGTTTGTGAAACATGGTTCACCATAATGTATTCAGTAAATTAATGTGTAGTCTCTTGATTCAAACTCGTAGTAGAATGATGATGGCTATCATCCCACCAAAATGACGCTGGCTCACTTGCGAGCACTACTTATTATTGAGAAAATCTTGTACTCGTAGTTGTCCTTGTCTTAGAATCTAAAGGTCTCTAGTTTCCATACATACCTCCCCTTCTGCAGAAGAAATCTTTTCTCTACCCCTCCCCCCACCCTGGTTACTTGCAAAGTAAGCGACGTAAATAAATAATTACACATTTGTCATTTCAGGGAAATTGCAGGTTTACTGATTGTGGTATTCTGGTTGGTTCTCTGCCAAGTGACAAAACTCAAAAGGTGATAAATGGGGACAAGTTTGAGGTCTAATTAGATTGCTTAAAACATCAAGGATAATAATAATATTATTTATCACACATGCAGACACAAAATTTTTTTATCTTGCGATATTACAATATTGGTTTCAGTCCAGTTTGAAAAGCAATAACTTTTAGGTGATAAAAAATATTGTTATGTATTACAGTTGAACCTCAATGGGTAACCACCACCTATTCAAAAGAACAAATTTTGGTTTCTCAGTCAAAGTACCAACAGTTTTAACCTCTTGTTCCAGGGGTTTAGAGGCAGTGAGTGGTGGGGTCTATCTGTAAGAGTCTTGGAGCTTAAATAGAGAAATACAGTATAATATGTATCACTCAGACTCTAGGTCTTACTAACAACTAACTCCACAATTACTTTACAGCTTCACGGAGAGCACTGCCTATCTTTGGACTGCGACAGTGGCCATTTCTGTCATTCCTTTTTTTCTCTGGTCCTACTACATGTACACATGGGATGTGTCCTCTTTACAGAGCCACTGCAAAGATATCATGTCAAGACATCTGTTTAGACAACAAGAGATGTAGATTTTTAGTGTCGAATTATAGATATAAGTAGTTTTTAGCCTCATTAAGGATGAGCATTATAATAAAGAGTCCTTGAAAGGCCAGTTATGGTCACAATGATATTGCCATTGGCCATGGATCCCAGTCTTTACCTCGGCTCAACTTCACAGGCATGCTGCCATTGAGTAAAGACCCTAAGTAGTCTCAAGTATAGTTTTAATAATAAATAATTAATTAAAACTTATATAGCGCAATTTTCCATGGAGCATGACCAAATGCGCTTTACAACAGGTTAAAAAGACTAAAAATGACTAAAATTTACAAGCGGTAAAAACTCAGGCCAGGCTAAGTATACTTGCGACTGTGGGCTACTAGGTCAGCAGCATAACGATTTGAAGTTTAATAAAAAACCGGCCGAGGCTAACTGACCATATTTTTTGAGAAGGAATACTTAATTTTCAGGGGTACCCTGAACGAGAATATAGTTCGAAACCATTTAAACATAGCGTTGTTAAACGTATTTTATTATTAAAACGGTAGACTAGGCATATTTTTATCCCCTAAAAAGTTTTCATCTGTTCGGATTTCCTAGCTGAAAGTCTAGTGATCCGAAAATCATAGGGATCAACACTTACCTTTTCGAAAATTTCAGCCAGAAAAAGAGCTCCCAAAAATTCTAGGTGACCTTTTTAGGGTAAAAATCCGTTAAAAATGGGAAATTATACCATTTTTTAGATGTTCGAAAATCCTAGGAGAGGTAGGCAAGCAAGAAATTTTACAACAAATGTTCCGAAAATTCTAGATCTCAAATCGTCTTCCGAACAGACCCCGAACAGATATTTTACGAAAATTGGCGTTAGTGCCCCTGAATCTTGCAGAAATTAATGTATATTTGATCAATTGGTATTTTAGGGCCAATATTTATTAGTGATATATTCAAGTTTTGCCTTAGATAGTAGCTTATGTCAATAACAATTGCAAATTAAATGAAGTTTGAAATAAGAAAATTATTTACAGCTATTTCAGAAAAGGTTGTCGGAGAGAATGGCGAACGGTGAATGTCGAACAGAGGTTGCACGACCGAAAGGAACTGTGGTTACGCTATTTGATATACAAAATTTCATAAGGTGCGTTCACCTTGCGTGAAAATGAATACACCAACTTTGAACGTTTGGCTGAGGGTTCTTGGATCTTCTTTACTCTGATGACAAAAGAAGCTCACGCCTTTTTCAATGGAAAGACGTTTCTCGTTTCCTCGTGTGAACGCCCTATTGTCAAGGTCAACCAGGGTTTTGGGGTATACAGTATATTGGGGTATTTAATTTCAGGTATAAAGTATTTTATGCGTAAATGTGGGTATAAAAAAATTGAAATACGTATACATATATATCAATGTTCTCCAAAAAAAAGCAATGTTATTCTGAAAAAAAAAAAGATATTGGTCCTACAAAATGAAAAAAACTATACTATACTATACTCGACCAGCCCACAAGGATTACTAAAAACTCGAAGTCACTTGTTGATTTAGTCGCTGTCAGTTGCCCGCAGAATTCGGGGGTGGTTTCCGCCCATTTGAGTGACCATGAACTGGTTTATTGTGTTCGTAAATTAAACTGGAAAAGAGCACCTTCTCAAGTCAAGACCTTCCGAAATTATGCGCATTTCAATGTTGACGCTTTTCGCAAAGATCTGAAAGGTGTTACTTGGAATTCTGTTCGTGGTCCCTATGGACCTGCCATTGTTGATGATCTCTGGCATGACTTTAAGCGGAAATTTGTCACGATTGCTGATCGTCATGCACCGATGACGCAGCGCCGCGTGCGCGGCATTAACAATTGTCCCTGGCTAAACAAGAGCATAAAGGTGACTATGCGCCAGCGTGATTATTTTCACCAAAAAGCAATCAAAAGCAATGCCTCAGAGCATTGGGCAAACTACCGCCATTTTCACAATCGTGTGACAAAAGAAATAAGGTCAGCGAAAGCGTCTTACAATAAACGGCTCATCGAGGAAAGTGGTGGTGATCACAGATCGTTTTGGAAGACGATTAAGAAAATCCTACCGGGAGAAAAGAAAGCTACTTCTCCAAACATTAAAGTGGACGGCGTTGTCTCTTCTGACAAACAATGCATTGCCAACGCATTTAATAAGTTTTTCGCATCTGCAGCAAGCAAATTGATGGCTACTTTACGGAAAACTTGTGGTAATAAACAGCGTGATTCCGATACTCCTGCCCGTCAGTATCCGCCGTTTAATTTTCTTGAGATCTCTGAGGAGTTTGTTATGTCTCAACTACGTAGCCTGAAATCTGGGAAGGCTGTGGGTTTGGACCGCATACCGGCTAGCCTGTTAAAAGATTCTGCGGACATTGTAGCTAAGCCTGTGGCGTTTATTATCAACACCTCGTTACGTACTGCCCAAGTTCCCAGTGACTGGAAATCCGCACGGGCCATTCCACTCTTTAAAAAGGGAAAGGCTGATGAAATGGACAATTATCGCCCGATTTCCATTTTACCTGTTCGATCTAAGGTTTTACAACGGGCTGTACATATCCAACTCTACAAATATCTTCAGCAAAACAAAATCTTGAGCCCTTATCAGTGCGGGTTTCGGAAGTGTCACTCGACAGAATTCGCTGCTCTTAGTTTTTCTGAAAATATTCGTAGGAACATGGACCAAGGTCAATTAACTGGTGCTGTGTTTATTGACCTTCGCAAAGCTTTCGACACTGTGGATCATGCGGTACTTCTGGACAAGCTTTCCAATTTGGGGATTTTGGATAAAGAGCATGGCTGGTTTATGGATTACCTGTCGAACCGCACCCAAGTTGTAGAGTTTCAAGGGGTGACTTCTGCTTCGGAAGCCGTCTCTACTGGTGTGCCTCAGGGCTCTATCCTCGGACCATTATTGTTTATTCTACACATTAATGATTTACCTGAAGTAGTGTCAGATTGCAATATTCTGATGTACGCTGATGACACTGTTTTATACTGTCCATCCTCTCAAGCCTCTGTCGTTCAAGACAAGCTGAATGCCGAACTGTGTAAGATTGATCACTGGCTTTCTTTTAATAGTCTGTTTGTTAATGCAACAAAAACCGAAGCTATGCTTTTCGGAACCGTCCCTAGATTATCTGCTGTTAACTCTTTTTCTATTACTTTAAATAACAATGTAATTAAGCAGGTTTTTCACTTCACTTATCTAGGTATAGTTTTTGATGACCGCCTTAGCTGGAAAGAGCAAATAAAGTACCTAATTTCGAAGGCGGGAAAACGCGTAGGAATGCTCGGCAGGCTTCGCAGAAACCTCACTAGAGAGAGTGCAAATGTAGTGTATTGTAGTCTAATAAGGCCAATTTTAGAATACTGTGTAAGTGTGTGGGGCTGTTGCGGGGAAGGTCGTAAACAAGACCTTGAAGCCCTCCAAAACCGGGCTTCTAGGATAGTGGCTTGTACTGTGCGCAGCAAGCAGGCATTGGACGTTCTGAAATGGCCCACCTTGGAGGAGCGCCGACGTCAATCTGTTTTTAAACTCGTTAAGAAATGCCTGCAAGGTCAATGTCCCCAGTATTTTAAACAATACTTTAAACGTAATAATACAATCCATGCGCGCGCTACTAGACAAAGCAACCTCTTACATCCGCCTGCTGTGAGAACTGAAATTGCAAAAAGATCCTTCTATTATTATGGTTGCACTCTTTTTAACGAATTATCTTAATGATATTTCGTGTTTTACATCTTTTAATCTTTTAATTGAAAATAGTTTTCTATTTATATTATTACCTACATTAGTGTAATGTTTATATGTTTAGAGTGGTTTTTGTGCGTTGTTGCTCAGGGCTCCCATTGATAACAGACAGCTTTTTGCGTCTGAAGGGGCTACCCTGAGCGGTATAAATTAATAAAGGTTCTTCTTCTTCTTCTTCTACTAGATTCAAAATAACTGTGTCTTTTCGATCTCTTTATAAACCTTTTTGCTAAGGTAAGATGGAGCTGGGTCTCTTAGGCACTTGAAAGTCTTGCCAGCTTCCTATAATTGAAAAATTTGACCGGTACTGACGACCAGTCTAATTGTTCTGGAGCTGACATTATATGCTCCTACAAGTATTTCTTAGTGGCAAGTACTTCTGTATGGGGCGCCAAATGTATTTTTATTGTTTAGAGTGGTTATTTGTATATAACCAAAACAAGGCTGGTTATTTACAAATAACCACATTACAGTTTTGTTATTTCTAAATTATATAACCAAAAATGAAAAAGTGGTTATTTAGCAAATAACCAAAAATGAAATAGTGGTTATTTAGCAAATAACCAAAAATGAAAAAGTGGTTATTTAGCAAATAACCAAAAATGAAAAAGTGGTGATCTCTAAATAACCAAAATGAAAAATCGGTTATTTATCAAATAACCAAAATGCGAGATTTTTTTTTATATCTTAAATAACCAAAACGAGATTGGTCATTTATTAAATAACCAAAATGCGAAACTGGTTATCTATTGGTTATTTATTAAATAACTAAAATTCGAGATTAGTTATTTATTAAATAACATGAAATAACCAAAATGCGAGATTGGTTATTTATTAAATAACCAAAATGCGAGTTTTGTTTTTCATAAATAACCAGAATGAAGAAGTGGTCATCATCAATGAACAACTGGTTGTTTAGTAAACAACCAAAGTCGATTTTAAAAATCCAAAAAATGTGCAAAAATGGTTATTTACCCAATTTGGTTGTATAACAAGTGGCCACGTGGCCTATTTTCCCGCTCATTTCCCATATATAATGACTTGCAGACTTCTATTTCCAACATGGCTTCTTCCAACAATGACACTAGCTATTATTTGCAGGAGTGGCTGTGAGCCTTTTGAAAGAACACTGCTAACCGTGCTGACCGCGCGTCTATATCATCCATCTTTGTCCAGTCTACATTCCCTTCACTTTCCTCCTTTCTCTTTCATTTACCTTCTTCCACCCTCATTTTCCTTCATACACCTTCCACTTTTCGCTTTCATTAATCATTTGCCTTCATTTATTTTCATTCACCTTCATTCTAATTCATTCATTTCATCCTACTTCCACCTTCATTCACCTTCATCCACTTCATTTAACTCCAGTAGCCTTCATCCACGGTCATCTAGCCCCATTAGCCTTCTTTTACCTTCTATTTCCATTAGCGTTGATCCACCTTCATCCACCTGATCCACTTTCATCTCCCTCCTTTAGCCTTCTTCACAGACGGCTTTAAAGTTTTGATATTAAAATTGCACCTGTTCACAATTAAAAGAACATGAATGCAGACACTGCAGTTCATTTAGCTCATGCGTCAAGCTTTTTAAATTTTTTATAAATTAGAAAGTCTTGCTGGAGAAAACATAATTGTGCTTTATCGTTTCGGTTACAAAAAAAATAATAAAATAACTTCCAGGTGTCTAAGCAATTTCAAAGGACCCATAGTGTCTTATTTCTCCGCTACATTAATTGAGCTGTAAACAAAGGCCGTTCTTTCTAGTGATCCGGCTTCAGAAATATTGTTGTCCTTCGTGATCGCGAAGAGTGATCGCTTAAACAAGTCCAAAGTTGAATCCCTTAAACAGCGTAAACTGGCCAAAACGCGAGCATCGCAGGGAACGAATCCCATAGGAATAGGTGAAAAAGGATAATAAGAAGTCTAGGCTGTTCTAAAAATATCCGTATATGCATTTAATAATATACAATTAATCTTCTTTCCACTGGAAAAAGCGGACACCGTCGGGGAATTCTGTAGTGTCCGCTTAATACAGGGTGTCCGCCTGATACAGGTTTCAATAGATAACGTCATATGACAGATATGAGGTGTCAAATGCCCTTCAAATCAACAGTGGAAACGTTTAGAATACTCCCAGAGACTATGACGATACGTTTGCATGTATTTCTTTACCAAAGTGGACCAATTGATCATAGTACCTTAAACATAGATTGCAACTCAAATTTGAAGAAATCAGATGAGTGAAGAAAGCTCTATACAAACCACCTGACAAACAAAACGAAATAGAAAACAATACTGTACTGGGAAACTAATCAAATAAGTTCTTCAAGTCACGTTTTTTAATGTAAAAATCGAAAAATTTGTGAGTGGCAATTCGAGGCAATCTTTCGCATTTCCGGTGGTGGAATTTAATTACAAGTGTTCGTTTAATACAGGTTGGCAACAATAGAAATGACCATTTCAGGTACTTTTTAGATGCCCGCGTCCGCTTAATAAAGGTTTCATTTAAAGTAAATAAGGGAGATAAATTTGGGGACTTCGGCTACTGTCCGCTTAATAGAGGGTGTCCGCTTAAGACGGTGTCCACTTAAGGTGATTCCCTGGTTTTGCACTGCGCATCTCTTACTGCGCATAACAAGATGGCCTCCGTAAAAAAGAGCATGTGAAGTAACATTATTAAAATGAAGTTGACCGAAGAGAAACGCTATTGTAATTTTTGCTTGCGGTTGTTTCTTGCCGAGGTGAGACTCAATGTGGTGGGGATGTGCATAACGTAAGCAGCACGAGTGTTGCTGAGTTCGACTTCCTCACGGAGAACCTCGATAGTGGATGTTTAATTTTGTGCTTATTCACTCTGATTTTCATTTAAACGCTTTCTTTATCACATTGTGTCCTAAATGTGATATCTGGATGTAAATTCTGTAAAAACGGATTTTTTAATACTTTCTTCCCCCTTTCGCATACATTCTATTTTGAAACTCGCCCCAGTCCTCTCTCAAAAATCAAGGAAAATGCATTTGGTGCGCACTTTCTGTAGCTCTACGGCAAAAACGAGTACGGTGACCCCCATTATATATTTCATGATTTTAATAAGGACAGTGCTTCCTTTCGGTAATAAAAAAATTGGTACAAATCTATGTTCAGTTTTGGCAATTTTACTAAATTGTATAGCCTGTTCCAAGCGTTCAAATAGTGGAGAGCGGTAAATTGTACGGATTGAGCTATCACGTGTCGAATAGCGCGTGTCCAATTTATTTCTACTTTGGAGCGTAAAGTAAAAACAAGGGCATTAAAAGGCATTTTTCTGGTACGTAAGTGGATAAACAATACATTAAGGTCAAATTCTGTGCGATACCACATGTATCATTGAAAAAATCTTTCCTTTTTGTCTAGTTTTGCGCTGCGCGCGGTTTTTGTCAAAGGGTCCAAAATAGCCGTATTTGTCAGCATTGTGACGTCAAAACGAGCACGGTGACCCCCACTTTTTATTACCTTTTTACCATCATCTTGACTTGTTACATCAGTGTACCAAGTTTCATCTACAATCTATGTTAGGTTCTTTTACTGGGGAATCACGATGGAGGTATTGCCGCCATTTTGAATTTGGCAATGTCACGTGGTCACACGTCGACCAATCAGACATTTTTCGCCGGTTAACGGTCACTTTTTCAGTCACACTTTCCAGTCCGATCAAAGTCTCCTCTGCGCGCTCGGCTTCATTCTGTGTGCAACTTGTGGTTCAGTTGTTCTGCTTCATGCTGCTCGTGTTTTTTACTATTTTGTAGCTATTACAATAGCTTTTATGGATAACCAGGCACAGATCACTGAAACAATTAGTCGATTGATTCAGAAAAGGTAAGTTGATAATAACTTGTGCCTGTAATTTTGGCTGATTTGAGTGTCAGGTAAACTGATTTTCTTTCACGAAAACAAATTTTTTGACTGCCATTTTTCACTTAACCTGGCTGAAACTAAGACATAAAGAGTTATCATTGCAAGCTTGTGTATTGTAGTTCTAATTTTCGGTTCTTCGATTTCTCAGTCTTAATGTCTTAAAAACCACTTCTAGCTTTATTTTGAAAACGACAACACACAATTGCTTTGTAGTTTTCAGTACCAGAGAGTTCGTGTTTTGAAATGAAGCTCTTCTGAGTTGATTGAGGTTGACAGCAAGTTGACAACTCTATTTATTTATTTAATTTTTTCACTCTCAGAATCAGAGAGCGGAAGCTGGTTCGATGGCTTTTAGAAGTCGAAATTTTCATGCCGTGTATTTAGCAGCTGGAAGTTTCGTGTTTGCATGAGATGCAGCCGAGCCGCACAGTATGAAATTATTGAAGTCTTCAACCAAAAACCAACCACGTAAAAGAATTAATAAGAAATAAAATAGGCCGTTTTCTTGAATGAAAGTACCTTTTTTAGGCATATTTAGTTTCTCGGCCAAGATCATTCAACAGACCGAAAGTTCCGGGTATTTGCTGTAGTCATCAAAGTCGAGGTTCTTTAATATTAATTAACCCGCCCATCTTTTGTTTTGAGTTCTTGTTTCCTCTGATAATAAAAAAAGTTTTGAACAGACTAAACTTTTATTTTGTGGTTCTAGTGTTAATGATAATAATGACGTCTTTGTTTTGGTTTCTTTCATAAGTATTGCTATTCTTTTCTTAGTTATCGCCTTCTACCAAATTAACTTATGCCAAACCAGTGGAATGCAAGACTGCAAGTAAAAACTCGTAAGTTCGTCTTGTCGAGCGCGAGCGACCTATAAACTTCAAACTTAATTTTCAGCGTTGGTGCAACCAGATAACCATGGGGTGCAAACGTTTGACACTAGAAAAATATATCAGTTATCGAATGAAGTGATTTTTTTCGCCGCCTTTTTTTTTTGTCTGTTTCTCCCTTTTTCCTTTTAAACTTGGCGCGACGACAATGTTATGCTCACGCACTTGGTTTATTTACTAGACCGGAAATAAAAAAGTGGACCGGATGTTAAATTTTTTGCTAATGCGCAGTGCGTTTTGCCGACCGAACAATCAATCATGACGTCACCACTATTCCGAAACCCATACTCCCGAACTGGGGGCATACGGAGCCGTTGTAGTGGAGTTGCTTTTTGCTTGGTATTTCTCTGTCTGCAAAGGATGCAACGAGTTTTTACCAAAAGGGTAAGTTTTCTTGAGTTGAGTACTTTAAACTGTACGCTCAGCTTTTTTAAATCACTCTTTCTTGGCATTGTTCTCCCCAGTTTTTCGATCCGCACCTCCGGTGGATCGTGATCTGAACCGGTCTCTCTACCGTTTCATGTAAACTTTGGCCGGGGAAACTATTTTGAAGTTGTACTTTTTATTGATTTCCTTTCCTTTCCTTGCTACAGTAGTTTTCTAGTCAAATATTACTGCTCTCATAGGATTTTTCACGACGGGAAATCATCTTTCTCTTTTAAGACTTTGATCAAGTTATATCAGATATTAACCTTGTGAGCTTATATTTAATACAAGCTTATTACTACGTAAGATTTCTTATAAGCACACTTATATTGGTCAAGATTGCCGCCAAGCAATGTGAAATTTGCTTTTAGACGTAAAACGAACTTATGTTCATAAGCTGGAGGTTGTGTTAATACAAGTTTCCCCTTCCTTACCCCTACCCCCTCCACTTCTCTTAATGAACCAAACTGAGTACATTTGGGATCCTTACAAGAGGTATGGATTTTGATTTATTTGCTTTGTAAATGGGTTAATTTAGGGATTTGTATTTAAAGGTGGTATTAAATCAAATTTGCCTTACTGTGTGCAGTCAAAACTTTTTTCAAGCAACTGCCATGAACGAATGGACAGTGGTCACTTTCAGAGAGACAACCTACAAGAGCAGGGACGGCGGAGCGTACTTTGTATTGGGGGTGGCTAACAAGCAAGCGCAGGAGACGCTCACTTGTAGGGGGTTCGAGGGGAATCTCTGCCAGAAAATTTTGAAATCTTGAAGCTCGGAAATGCTACTTTCAGTATTCTCAACGAGATATCAAAAAATGAAATGACAGATGTTTAACTTCTTATTTGTTACCTGATACATATATAACTTAATACATATATCCTAGCCTCATGTATATTCCGGCCACAGTGCGTACACTAAATTGTTTCATTACAAATGCTCGACGTGTGTAGCAAGAGGGAGAATGTTCAAAATTAGTGGTGTAAAATTTCTTGTGTTACATTAAGATGCTAATCTTGACAGCATATGACAAATTTCAACTATAAAACAAATTGCAAAGTTTTGAAAAATCGAAGAGTGAAGGGCTAATGCAAAATCGCCCGCGAGAAAGGGCAATGTGATTTTCCTAACTCGTCCCTAGTCATCTTTCGTCTTTATTCACAAGCTAAATTGTGAGAATACTAAGGGAAAAGAACAAGTTGATAGGCTAAAGTCAATTTCCTGGAACAATGCATGTACAGTAACAGCAAGGGAAAACAACAAGTTCAACGGCTGAAGTCAGCAGTAGTAAATTTGCCAAAATTCCTTTCATGATTTTCGTTCAGGGATACAGATGAATTTGCCACAGAAACTAAACAAAGCTTATCAGCTCTATCTTTATGTGTGTTTAAAATCACGAGATGGTTGAGCCGTGCTTCTGTTTTGTTTTTCCTTCTGTTAGTTTTCTTTTTTCATGTTTAATGGGCTTTTTAATTATTTTTAATTTTTTATTTATTTTTTGCTTGAAATTGGAGGGCTAAAGCCCCCTCAGCCTCCCAGCTCCACCGTCTCTGGAGAGGCTGTGTTTATGATGCAAAGAAGGTTCAAGAAATGACAAATTCATTTGATCTGGGGTATCCTAATTTCTAATGCAGAGACTCGCTATTGTTCCCCCAACTTTTCGTAAGATGCTTACAAGACAAGCCGTCTTTGGTTAATTGTTTTCCAGAAGACCTGCATATTTGTTCAAGAAATCATATTATGAGGGTCTCAATGGGGTTAAACGATAGGCGTAAAACGGCCAAAAATTTAGTCGATAGCCGTAAAAATTTAAAAATTTTAACCGTTAGCCGTAAATAGAGTAAAAAAGAGTTAACCGTAAAAGAAATTGTTCCCTAGATTTGTTAATTTTAAGGAAGGTGCTAAACGCGCTTATGGTTGCGTTTTTTATTTCCCGGCTACTTTTGACTCCGTACGCACGTTAGACCAAGTGCCTTTTAGGTGTTGACCTAGACCTAGGCTCCATTTCCGCCGCTCTCTCGAATAATCAAGTTTTTTCCATAGCAAAAATCTGGCTTCTTGCTGGGGATTAATATTTGTGATTTTCAGGAGGTCATGCCCTCTAAATACTGGTGAATCAACACGCAGAGATGTCACTGTTTCATAAAACACGTTGCCGATAAACAACAATTCTGTGTTTTTCTCTGACGCAACAGTAGACATTGCCATGCCTATTCTTTGTACGGCGTCTGCCCACGCAATCCTGAGAAAAAACACTCATTTGGACCACGTGACCTAAAGCGCATTAGCAGCGCGGAATAATGAGGCCTATGGACAAGGCAAACGGCAGAGTCGTTCTGTACAGTCCTTCGCTACCGGACACGGGAATTTTGTTATTGGCAGTTTTAACACTAGAGTTAGAAATGGATTATCCGTCTGAGACTAGCCTGTGTACAGTCGCCACCTCCCCCACAGACACCCCTCCTCCGATTTTTTCTGATTCTGAGGGAAGGGGGCAGCTGTACACAGGCTATCTGAAATGGATAATCCATCTTCAAACTGTCGGTCAAAATTGACGGATAAAGTCAGGCGAAGGATAACCTGTGTCACACGAATAATCCATCTCTAGTGTGAAAACGGGTTATAAATGAATGTCGCGCCCCGGCCTTGAGTTGGGCGTTCATGTGTCTGCTTTTACTTTTTCACAAAGATTTGTCAATTGACTTTTGACATTTCTATGCGTAAAATAATATTAGAGGTGAAATACTTTATAAAAAGTATGATCTATCAAATGTTAAAATTTTTCAAAAGAATAGCTTATTTAATCCTGAGATGATCCTAAGACCTTTATTTTACTTTAAAGATAAAAAAATACAGGTTTAGTAATATTTAACTCTTTGAAACAAAAGAAATTAATTTTTAACTTTTTTGTTAACCGTAACTGGAAAAAATTAACCGATAGCCGTAAAAGAGCCAAAATTTTAGCCGATAACCATAAAAGCCACCACTCCACTGAGACCCTCTATTATTGCAGGCTTGTTGGAAGGAGCAGTGAAAGGGGTGCATACATACCCTCCATATGGCCTGCTGAGGTCCACCTGTTGGTCACAGATTAGTCATTAGTCACCTGCAGGAGTTGAAGATGCATAAGTGGGAAAAATTGACCACCACAGACTTGGCAATTTTAGCAAATTTGTCTGAAAGCAACCAACCTAGCTATCAGTAACAATTTCCTAATGACAAAACATTTTTGTTCCAGGCTTTGTTTTCTGTGAGGGCAGCAGTTTATCATGGACGACTATTTTCTACATCATATGCACTTGCGCAAAAGGTAAAGCATTATTCTGTTAGCTTTTACATGTAAGAATTTATCATTATTTGTATACTGTAGACTTGTAATGTTGCCACAAAATCCAGCTTGAACTTCAGATCTGGCCCCAGTTGGGGCCTGTAGGTTATGGCCTTTGCATTCCATTGTTGCCTTCCTTCCAAGGTGTCCTTTATCCAGGTCTATAACTCCCCATTTTACACAAGTACGGTCTAATTTTTGAACAGATGAAAACCTGCACAGATCCGCATTTTGTTTACACAGGACCCGTAGAACTATGCAACTCTTTGAACAGCTAACAGTACTGCAATTTGTAACATAATTTGCTCAGTTCCATGTAAATGGGTTGCATGTGTAAAAATTAGTCCATTCAAAAATTTGTCCAGACCTGTCTAAACAGGTTCTAAATGAGTTCTAGCAACATACTGCGTGGGGTAGCACTGTGATAGACTAGCATCCTTTCCAGGCTGAAACACTCCTAGTACACCTACTCGAAATGTTTTACAACTTAGGTAGGATAATGAGAGTTACAAGTGGCAAAGCCTTATTTAACAGATGGTAAATGGCTCAGCATTTACTATTGAGTTATAGTTGAATGCAGGAGGTTGCTGAGCACAAATGAAGTGTAAGAGTCGCCAAGTGCAACTCTAGCTTCTTGAGGAAATTTTCTCTAACTTCTTAGGATATCAAATTAATGATGAGGCCCGAGTGACGCATAGGGCTTTAAGCACACACTAGCTTTTGTCACCATTCACCCATGGGCAAATGATAAATGGATAGTGGACCAATTAGAGCACATGCTTTTCTTTTGTTGTGTCAAAACTTGTGTGGTTGTTGTTTAATATTATTACACCTAAAATGTCAAGAAAAGTTGCAAGTAGTCCGCTTGAATTGGAAAAAATGCTGGCTCCTGGATCATGTTGACTGGGCTGTGATTTCTGCCTCTTGCTTTAGAAACTAGGTTTTAAGCTCTGGCCATTTTGGCCTCCTTGGCTGGAGTGTGGCTTGTGGTTATGCCTGAATGATGGAAAATGTATGTTAAAAAATTATTATTTTTCCTTAGGTGCCCCTAAGTAAATTTGAATCAGACAAGTATCTGAACTATCAGCACTTGGAAGACAATTTGAAAGTAGTGCGAGACAGGTGAGAAGTTAAGAAACTAATAGGCCCGTTTCAAACGTCGTGCTACTGCCGTGCGGAACTCAATTGATCGAATTAAATTCGGCTTAAGCACGGCAGTAGCGCGACGTTTGAAACCAAGTCGTGCTACTGCCATGTAGCATGGCAAGCCTTGCCATACTACCGCCATGCCGAACTCAATTCATGAATTATAAATACATTAGAATATATTTAAAAGTTTGCTAAACCGTTTCTTTATTTTTGTGGTTTGTTTTTGGCAACAGCCATTCCATTTGACTGTCATTGTATGAATTAAATTTGACGTTTGAAACCAAGTTGTGCTAATGTCGTGCTGCAGTCGAGCTACAGTTGACCCAGCTTAGCACGGCAGTAGCACGACGTTTGAAACTGGCCTTAGTACAGAACACACTGCACAAGTAAGACCAAAACAAAAACATCTTAAAATGTAAGTGGAGAATCCCATGTGCATCATTTGTTAAACTTGTGTGCATACAGCAATATTGTATAAAACAGTGGATAACAATGTAGCAATAACCATTTTCTTGCAGGCTAAACAGGCCATTAACGCTTTCTGAGAAAATTCTGTACTCTCATTTGGATGACCCAGTAAATCAGGTACATTTAACTTCTGCATAGTCATTGCCAATGCACACTGTAACTAAATATTAGCAATCTGATGGTTGCCTCACATAAAATAATATAGCTAGGCAGTGACAGTGCCTTTACAGGGATGGTAAAACACTGTTGCTGATAGATGATTCTAACCTAGGTTGATTCTAAATTTCCTGTGTCAGACTCCTAGCCCTAATTGGTGATGATCATGAATAATGAGGGCTAGGAAACGAAGTAAATTCAGAATCAGCCTAGGTTAAAACTGGTTTAACCTGGGTTCCATGTTAACCCATGTTAACCCATTCTAACTGTGCACACATTCTTGAGAGCCTTTTCTTCTTTCATACAGGATATAGAGCGAGGTGTGTCATACTTAAAGCTCAGACCAGATCGAGTGGCAATGCAAGATGCTACTGCCCAGGTGCATTATATTTAGCAATAATTCCTCTCTTTGGTGTCTTACATGTTATGGTCTCTCTATGTGTTTACCATATATAGTAATTACATGCGAATGCATAAATTCAATAAAACGTGTTTGTAGTGAACCGCCATGTTGTCCGGGTGTGTTCTCGGATCTCTCGTCAGTACATGACGTTACACATATGAGAAAATCAGCCCCTGGTCAAAGTGTTTTTAAGAGTACATGTAGATTGAAAGGTGGCCGGCAAAGAAAGGTGTGACCGATAGCCTGGGCTAGTGATATTGCGATCTTAACTTACCCTGCAGGCAAGTGAAGTTTTGTCGGGAATTTAAGTTACAGAAGAACTGTAAGCACTCCTGGAAATGAATTTTTTTTTTTTTTTTGCAGGGGGGCAGAGGGGGGGGGAAGGGGAGCTAGTTGAAATGAATTTTGCGCTTAAACATACTAGCTACAGCTTGCTGGTGTGGGAAGCTGTTAAACTGACTGCCTTTGCACCCAGTTGAGAGGGTCAAGGAACTAACCAGCTTGTCAATGGCACTTTGCTCAAGGACCCAGCTCAGTGGTTAGAGCGTCCCACCAGTATATAGAGCAGGGCTCTAGAGGGACAGGCCTGTCTGGGAAATGTTTCAAATTTTCATGCTAGAAGTGTCTGATGGGATGTTGTTTCTAATGTTACAGCACATTTTGATTGACAATTAAAGTCAATTTAGAAACTTATCAGTACATCTATTACTAAATCATGTTATTTGTCTAAGTTTTATTCAAAATATAACAAAATAGAAATAGACATAAATTTCTTTTGTAAATGAAGGAGGTGGTCAAGATTTAGGAAGAGTTGACTCATTCATCCATCAAATTCTTAGTGTGCTGTAAACTTAACTAATGTAGTGTGTCATTTTTGTTACAGATGGCAATGCTTCAGTTCATTTCTAGTGGCCTTCCAAAGGTGAGAGTTAGTGGTTTCAGTTTCATTAATGGATACAGGATCTATTAATTTAACTCTCTTTATATTTTACCTAAAACTGCATTATTGTTTTATTGCTGCAGTAGATTTTTCTTCAGCAAGTCCTGTTATTAGAATGTCTGATGGGATAAGGTCCTTCATTAAGTCAAGGTTCTTTTTTTGCCTATAATGCACATGCAGTTCTATGCCCACTTGTTTTTCTTTGTTCAGTAACATAATGAAGAGACTGAGTTGTGGAATGCGATGACAAGTTTGAGCTAGTTATATGCTGGGGTAGCTTCTGACTGGTTCAATGTCAGTGGAGTAGAGAGGCCATTTCATACTACAAAATCAGTATGGGCCACATGTAACTTATTGATGAGTGGACTACCTGTGCCATTTATGTGCACATGGGTTATCTGTACTGTGTTGGCTTTCTGTGATTTGACATTCCTTTCAGTGTAGGTGATTTATGAGTAATGGGTGGGCTACCTACAGTATGTCGAGGCCCTATGACATCACCAGCGTGCAAAGAAAGTGGTGTCTGATAGCCTGGGGCTAGTAAATTCTGTTCTTAACTTGCCTGATCGACAGGTAATTTTTTGGGGGAATTTAAATTACAGAAGAAATGTAATCAATCCTGGTCATCGAATCTTTTTCAGGCTAGTTGAAATGACTTTCGGGCTAGTACATGCTAGCTACAGCTTGCCTGAATGGCAAGCTGTAAAACTGACTTTCTTTGCACCCTGATCACTGCATCTTAAATGTTGATTACACAGGTTGCAGTTCCCACAACCATCCACTGCGATCACTTAATAGAAGCCCAGATTGGAGGAGAGCAGGATTTAAAGAGGGCTAAAGACATCAATGAAGAAGTATACAACTTCTTAGCAACAGCATCTTCGAAGTATGGTGTTGGCTTTTGGAAACCTGGTAGTGGAATTATTCATCAAATAGTGCTGGAGAACTATGGGTTTCCTGGTGTCCTGTTGATTGGCACTGATAGCCACACACCAAATGGAGGTAAGTATTTTTGTTATCTATGGTGAATAATAATTATATGAATTTCATATATTGGAACGAAAGAATAAAGAAATAAATGCCAAGAAGATCATCACAGTTTAAAAATAAATGTAACTTTATACAGTTGTGAAAAGAAGGCCACTAGAAAAAAAAATTGGGCTTGCTGGGATTCGAACTCTGCATGACGTCTTTAACTGTGTCGATCTTCTTTGCACTTGAAAGTAATGAAATTATCTTACCTGTGAAATAATAACAGCACTGATCCATGGGCAGCTTTCATTTTTTCTCTGGGATTTCATCAGCACTCACAACCATGTAGCCAAAGCAAAACACAGGTCAATCCTAAAGCTTTCAAGTCCAGATTTTCTCATAACACAGTAAGACCCACTCTCAAATCCTCATTTCTCTAGCACCAAGAGTTATTGTTTCAAAAGCAAATAAAATTTCTGTTGTTTTTCTGTCATTCCTTTACCTGGTTTATTTCGGCTCTCAACTTCTTGTTCTCTTGCCATGAAAGCATTTAAGTAAACTTCAAGTTTTTACTTTCTCATGGCAAACCATTGATCAATTTTTGGATACAGTTCTTAGTCACCCTGGGATATTTTTAAATACTGTAAATCTCACTCATGACAATGATGACACATGACTAAGGGTGCATTCCTTTGAGATGATCCAGATCAAGATCAGTGATCCGAGATCGCTCGCATCATGGTAGATCAAATGAACTGATGAATCCACTCCACTACCACTACCATCCACTCCACTACCATGATCCGAGTGATCTCGGATCACTGATCCTGATCCGGATAATCCCAAAGGAACGCATCCTAAATCATTAACATTTTATTAAATCTTTATTGACTGTAGGTGATAAATTTGTCATCGAGCTATTGTGACACTGATTGAGCATAAATAATAATAAATTCTCCTGTTGGTGGTTGTTAATTATTAGTATTAATTAAGAATTAATCATTAATGCTTGTTATACTCTACCTGCTGCCTTCCTTTAGGTGGTCTTGGTGGACTCTGTATTGGTGTGGGTGGAGCAGACGCTGTAGACGTCATGGCTGATATTCCCTGGGAGCTCAAATGTCCAAAGGTGAACATTACAATGTACTTTAACAATTATTGGTGAGGTTTTTATGATATCCAGAATAATCAAGGTCAAGGTAGGGGTTGGCTGAGGCTGATAACTGAGACCTTGATTATTCTGGATATCATAAGAACCGAATATAGTAATTGTTTTATTATACATTGAACAAATTCTTCTTTTCTGGCTTTGACATAAAATGTACATTTTCAAAGTTCGTGCCAACTCTTTCTTCTCCTCAGGTTCTCTCAGTTTTTTCTCTTTCACAGCAAACAGCTCGTTTGCCACCTTTGTTGACCTGTTTGTGTTTTGTGAGTCCTTATCTTCAACTATTTTTTCCATGACTTGCTCGGTCAACGAAGCAAACCTGGAAGTCATGTTTTTGCTTCTTCACTGATGGCAAGCAACACAAAGCGTGCAAACTTGACATGATTACCCTTAGAAATCATGCACCGCAGTCATACATGACATGATAACCTGTGACCTTAAGTGTCCTTGACATGATTATTGTATAATCTGCAGCTAGATGACGTCTCAGGCACTGATTTCGAAAATTCACTGTACGCTTTCGGCCAATCAGAAAAGAGATACTGAGTTCAATGTATAATAAAAAGTAGTAACAGGGTTACGGGGGATTTACAGAAGACTCCAAGGATGTGCAGCATATAAATGTTTGCTAGAAACTGATGCGTGTGAAATGACCCCCTCCTACCCCTATCATGAAGAGAGGCCCACTGGCTAATCTTGTCCCTTTAAGGCTGCTTTTCCCTTCCTTGAAGGTGATTGCCTGAGAGGTTTGACTTGGTTAGCATTAGATAACATCAGGTGAAGCCAGATTAGACACCTTATGAGGTTTACACTAATGAATTTTTCTCTTAATGTAAGGAGACTGGAACAGAACCCCACTAACCTTGTCGAATACAGCTAAAAAAGACAAAACTGCAGAGCGACGGTTATGGAGAGAATATACTAGAGAGTTAGGCACTGATCTGGAGTGATTAGGGTTAAGCACTGAAGTGGAAATGGTCAGCTTTCTATTTTATATTATATTATGCACATGTTCTTCATTTAATTTTACTGAAAGAAACAATCTGGTTTCAGCTGATGTTACCTGATGCTAACCGTTTGACTTTGTTTTCTGAAAGAGGAGGGGAAAGCTATTCATATTTAGGAAATGGAATTCATAGTTTTAGGAAATTGAATTTTGACTAATATCTGGTGATTTGGCGATGAATTTATGCAGTGGGGGTGTGGAGGAGGGGATAGATGGCACTGGGAACCCCCTAGGATTTCATGGCAGACATTCCTTGTCAATTAAAAAATCTAATTTGGATTTAAAAAATCCCAGTCCTGATAGCCTTGGTTTTGTAGGAATTCAGTCAAAGTATGTAGTTTATATAGTATTAATTCACTTCTAATTTCCTGTATAATAATTGTCCTGTGTTTATATGAACAGGTTATAGGTGTCAAACTTACTGGAGATTTGAAGGGTTGGACATCACCAAAAGGTAATTGTATTTTCAACTGTTTCTTGTCTTTCTACATGTTTCTGAATATGTTTTGTGGCAAAGTTAGCTTATGTTGTTGTCCTTTCGTTTACAGATGTTATCCTTAAAGTTGCTGATATTTTAACAGTGAAAGGAGGAACTGGGGCTATTGTGGAATATTTTGGACCTGGAGTGGATTCCATTTCATGCACAGGTAAATGTTCTAGATGCTAATCAAAGCTTGGACACTGAATAGTGAGTTAAAGGAACAACAGTTTTGAGCAACACTCCTCAACCGGAAATGGACTTTTTGCTTTCTTGGACCGTGATTGTGACCAAATTATCAGGCAAATCATCTTCATGAGAGTAAAGACCGTAAGCAATACAAATTTAGTAGTATCAAGGGATATTGGGAGGGAAATGGACTAACTTCTGGTTGATGTTCATTGCTCAAAAATTCTTTGCTTATTAAGCTGCCTAATGTAACATTCAGGGTTGTCAAAAGTAGCCGGCTGCCAGTGAAAATCGCTGCCTACTTGGTTAGTATCAGCCGGCTACTCTGCTTAGCATTTCTTTACGGATGGCGTTTTTGGAATAAAATATCTCTGGACTGGCCGCTTACTTTGACAACTCAGCCATCTACATGTACTTCAAAGCTTTCTGACAACCCTGAACATTGCTTGCCCTGCTGAACTTGTGATATATAAATTTTAGGAATGGGAACCATTTGTAACATGGGTGCAGAAATTGGTGCCACCACCTCAGTCTTCCCTTACAATTACAGAATGGAAAAGTACCTCAACGCAACTGGACGTGAACAGATTGCTGAGCTTGCGAACAAGCATGCTGATTTCCTTCAATCTGATAATGGTGCAGACTATGATCAGGTTATTGAAATCAATCTCAGTGAGGTGAGCTTTCTACACTAAATGTACATTTACTGCGTTAACATCATTGTTGTGTTGAAGAAAAGCACAGTGAACGGTATGCCCAAGCATAAAACATAATGCACTGTGAGGTACATGAGCAGACCATTATTTGTAGGCAGTTGTTTACAGGTCACGTGGTGGGCTCTTGGCCAATGAAAAGATAGAAAAATTTGCTTCGAATGATAATAAAATTTATTTTATCATTATGAGGGGAACAATGTTTGTAATGTCCATCACAGTGTGGTTTTTCAAAACTCAATAATTCTATGACAAAGAAAATGTTCTTGCATTATGAAGTACGCTGTCAGACATCAGGGGCACCCAACGGCAATTTTCGGGAAAATATCTGTTCGGAAGACGATTTTAGAACTAGAATTTTCGGAACATTTGTTGTAAAATTTCTTGCTCGCCTACCTCTCCTAGGATTTATGAACATCTACAAAATGGTATAATTACCCATTTTAAACGGATATTTACCCTAAAAAAGGCCACCTAGAATTTTCGGGAGCCTTTTCCTGGCTGAAATTTTCGAAAAGGTGAGTTTTGATCCCTATAATTTTCGGATCACTAGACTTTCAGCTAGGAAATCCGAACAGATGAAAAGTTTTTAGGGGATAAAAATATGCCTATATCTACCGTTTAAATACTAAAATACTATTATCCTTGTTGGGTGCCCCTGAGACATGAATAATACCCAATAAATGCAGTTATAGTTCTGAAAGATTTTTTTATGAGGATGATACAGGAGGGTTATCACTGTGTTCCTAATGTTATTGCTTTCTTTTTTAGCTTGAGCCTCATGTAAATGGACCATTTACCCCAGACCTGGCTCATCCCATCTCTAAACTAGGTGCAACAGCAAAAGAGAAGGGCTGGCCAATGGATATTAGAGTGGGTGGGTACAACTACTTCTTTAGTTTACTGACCCTCTTATCTGTTCCTCTGGTCAGTATTAAAATGCTTTTAGTTGTAAAACTCTTTTATTTCCTAAAGTGTCAGAAGTGATATATTGAAAAATGAGTGCGAGTGCTTCATCAGGGTATCCAGACACCAAGAAACAGATGAAAGCACGGACGCCTTGTGCTTTTATTGTTTCGAAGTGTCTGGATACCCTGATGAAGCAGGAAGCTTGAGTATTTGATAAACTACATCTAAAAATTTCATTTTTTAAAATAATTTAATTCCACTGCAATTAAAATGAATACCTGTGGCACAAACGTTAAAAACCTTGTGCTCAGGATTCAGTCATAATAATATTATTTACTGGTGGCCAGCAGATATTTTCAAAACTCATTTATGTGACCTTGGAGCTGGAGGGTGCTCATACACCTGAGCCCTGGTTAAAAAAATTAATGCTGGACAGTACAGGGTCAGTGAATGCCTATTTTGGACAAATATGTACAGGGTCAGTGAATGCCTATTTTTTCAACATAAATAAGGTGTAGAGCTTATGACAGGGTTATAAGGATGTAGCTAAGAAAATGATAAGCAGGCTTTTTTTTCTTAGTCTTGCCTGCTGTTTTACTCTTCTGCATCTCTAAAATTCCCAGACGTCTTTGTTTTCCTTTCAATTTGAACTGGTGATAAGCTCTTCTTCAACCAGAGAAATTACCTGGTAGCTGGGTCTTAGCAACATCCCTGGAGTTAGTTTGTAGAGTGCTGGTCTGTTGAACAGCAAGTTTATCCCCTGGTACAACACCATTTCTATGGTTTTTAAAATAAATGGAAGCAGAAGGTAAATGTACCATCCTTGTTCCCAAATGGCTCAACCCAGTTCCTTCAATAAATTAATTTACTTGCCAAATATATTGACACTTAAATAAACTGTTTTTACAGGTCTAATTGGCAGCTGTACCAACAGCAGTTATGAAGACATGACCAGGGCAGCAAGTATTGCTAAACAAGCCCTAAAGCATGGACTTAAATCCAGGTACTGTGAACAAAGTGAACAGGTAGATCACTGTCTCCCAGATGAATTCTGAAAGATTACATGCAGTTCCTTAGCTGACTTTTGTTAAAGTTGGTTCAATAAAAATGGTATTGTTAACTGGACTTTTTATTGAGAAGACAAGAGCATCAGTAAGTCCCAAACTGTTCTTCCCATATACCGGTATTCTATACCAAGTGGACACCTCTGTTATTGCTTTGTCTCCTAATAGTGGTCAAAGGAAACAAAAGGACCAAAATAATCAATAATTAAAAAAAAAAGGTCCTGCAAGATAAATAGTACCATGCAAAATTTTTGCCAAAGATTTTCAGTTGAACTGTAAGATTAAAGGGGATGGAAGACATGAGTCTCTACATTGAGCATAAAATTCCTCAGTGGGTTGAGCAATGTTTAAATACTCACCCCATCGTCACAATCCTTTGCTGGAAAGTTGTATTATTGGGCTGTGCTCAAGCAGAGCAGTGCTATGTGGCACCTTGTGACAAGGAAATCATATCTGAACTTCACAATTAAAATGCTTGTCACTGTAGATAGATTTCATAAGTTCAGAGCTCCTGAGCTCCCTACTGTGATTTATTTTTTTCAAGTACATCCTTTGCTCACTACACAGACAAGGCAAGGGAGTTGCAAGGAAAAAGGTTTTGGGAAGAAGTATAGAATATGGAAACCCCATTCAACTATCACTCTGTACCTGTATAATCTACTGTTGTTAATTGAAGTATGTATCTTTCTTCTTAAGGTCAATGTATACAGTTACTCCTGGATCAGAGCAAATTCGTGCTACTATCGAAAGAGATGGAATTGTAAGTTATTATAATGCTGAAATTTTTTATTTCCAGTTAAATAATTCCTGTTGTAAGACCTTACAACATGATAACAGTCTGTATAATAGTGGGTCTCTCAAAACTCATGTCTTAGTTACTTAATGTCTCCATGATTTTACAAAATTAGTCACTACAGATTTACTTGTAGCTACTTTGATAAAAATTACTCTGACAACATCAGAAACCTGTATATTTTTCTTAGCTAATTTTTACTTCCTTGTTTTATTTTAATTTTATGTAGTTACTTTACAGATCAATTCTGTGTAAATCATGTTGTTTTCTTACTGACTGTGTCTATTTTCATATTTTCATCAGGCAGAAACCTTGAGAGAATTTGGAGGAACAGTTTTGGCAAATGCCTGTGGACCTTGCATTGGTCAGTGGGACAGGTCAGGAGAAATTTCCCTTTTCCTCTTCTCTCTTTGCCATCAGTGGATGTAACGTTTGAACACATCACCTAATCCAACAGTAAACAGTAGAGGAAAGGGTCTAATAATCTTTTGTCTTCACTTTTATCACAATTTTGCTATGCACTTATGTGTTTTAGCCCAGTGCAAACATCGATCTTTGCATGTACCAAACTTAATACCTGTTTTGGTCAACCCAAATGATTTGAATTTGATGGTTGATCCAGACGTCGAACTTAATATTATTAGTAAGACTCAATTTATTTTCACGATGTTCAATGGTCTAAAATGCTTGCAAGTGAAAATAAATTGTAGCAAGTTATGCATTAAGTTTGGCACGTTTGAAACAAAGTTGCTCCACAGTTGAAATTCCCATGTGGGCCACTCGATCTTAATTCATGGGTCCACCCAAATTAGACATGTTGAACTTAATTGAATCAATTGTCAATCTTTTCATGTACAACCCTTTAAGCCCCAATATCCACAAGCAAATTCTCCAAACTGATCTTTATAACTTTTTAAGTTTGCATGTTTGTGAAAAAGGCTCTATGTAATCATTTAATTAATTCTCATAACCTAATCTCTTGACATTGTACAGATATCATTAGGAGAAAATTGATGTTGGTCACTATTGGAACTTAAAGGGTTAATTGAAGGGATTAGATTCAGTACATGAAAAGATCAATGTTTGAACTGGGCCTAAGGAACATTAATTTTGCCTTGGAGATGTTGTTCAGAAAAAATATTCCCAAAGGTGTAATGCTGCGGTGTTGAACACTTTCTGGGAAACTTTACCTTACCTATATTTTTTTATTATTTGCTCAGCTGTATAATTAGGTATCAGTAAAATGGATAGTGCTGGGATTTATACCCCACCAATGGGGGAATGGCAATACACCTGTAGTATAGAAAACCTACCACAAAGGCTTAAAAAGAACACAATTTAATTTTTATTCATGGCCGCCATAACACTCAGTAACAGCACTCTTTGCACACTCACTCATTTTAAGGTGGTTGAACACAGTTTTCTGGGCGGTCAGCAGTAACTTGCGTGACGGCGCGTGTTTTAAATTAGACAGACAAACATGGCGGTGAAAAAGTAATGGTACACAGAAGACAATTTCTCAAAATCTACTCATTAGAATTTTGTGATATTTGGCATAATTTTTCCTTTTATCGTATTTTAAGTAATGAGAACTTTAAAAAGTTGAACAGACAAATTTTTGTGACACATTTAATAATTACAGTACAATTAAATTATTGATTATCTAAAAACCTGTCTGTTAAAATTTGGTCTAATAAGTTTCAAATGGTAATGATTAATTATAGTAAGGTGTGTGCAAGTTTATAGGAAAATCTAATGAGCGAATTTTATGTAAACTGAGAAAAAGAGAAATTTTAAGGTTGTATTCAATCGTTCACTACTACAAATTTTTGTGACACATTTAATAATTACAGTACAATTAAATTATTGATTATCTAAAAACCTGTCTGTTAAAATTTGGTCTAATAAGTTTCAAATGGTAATGATTAATTATAGTAAGGTGTGTGCAAGTTTATAGGAAAATCTAATGAGCGAATTTTATGTAAACTGAGAAAAAGAGAAATTTTAAGGTTGTATTCAATCGTTCATGTTGCCATGGAAACTATGGAAATGTCAATTTTTACCTGTCAATCAAAGTCTTTCATCAGTACATTTTTCACTTGCCAAGTTTCAGCTTGTGAGCTGCAACCTTTCTCTTGCCATGATTTGGCAAATGACATATAATCACAAACTGCCAAAACTGTGTTCAGCCACCTTAATACGTCTCAGATGCCATTCCAGGATGTGAGTAATGGAAAACCGCTGTACACACAACACCTTGTAATGCTTCATGATGTTTAGATAAACATCATTGCCTTAGGTCTCGTGAGTAACTTTACTATGCTAATGTATGCTAAAATTTGTATTTGTAGACAAGATGTCAAGAAAGGAGAAGCAAACACAATTGTGACATCATACAACAGAAATTTCACAGGCCGAAATGATGCCAATCCTGCAACTCATGCCTTTGTAACTTCACCAGAGGTACGTCAAACAACTTCCTGCATGCAGGGTGGCAAAAAGGTCTAGATTTATAATCCCATGCATTTTTGTCGCTTAAATCAAGGTCATAGATTGATGGTTTGACAACCTGTGTGAAAAGCAATCATTGCACAAATTGAGTTGTGTAGTACGGCATCAAACACTGGCTATTGACCTGACTGGTCAATCAAGTTATGATATTTTTGCTTGTTTGTCAGTGTTATTTTCAAGTGTCACAGCCATTATGTTAGAGTCTAAAAACAACTTTACAATTGCAAATTACACTTGTAGATGTTTAATTAAATATTATTGATCCCAGGACAGCCATATAAATTCAACCTACTAATGCCATGTAACTCTTGTGCTCGACCCATTTTATAGTAGTGTAAAAGAAAGCTCTGGTGAACACTTGAAAATTAATGTTTCAATAAATTTTGTCACTTTTCAGAGAAATATTTGTTATTTGATTGAAATTTTTTGTCAGTAAGCAGTTAACATATTCTCTAGAATTAGCCCTCTCTGATGCATTATATTGTATGCTGTAATCTTTTACCAGTTTGTTTGACAATGTATTGATGTTGAAAGGAGAATTATGTACGTTGGCTAGCCTGCAAATAGGCTCACTTGGGCAAATTAGGAGAAAAGTTTGGCGGCAGAGCCACCATCCAGTAAGGAAAACCCGAATTCACACAAGTGAGCCTGTTTGCAAGCTATACAATGGTCATTCTCTGATTATCTTGATAGATGGTTACAGCACTGTCCATTGCTGGTGAACTGGACTTTAACCCTCAGACAGATTCATTAACTGGCACAGATGGTAAGAACAAATTAAATATATGTTGCAGATAATTTTTTAATTTATTTGTAGAATGATCAAATCACCATTTTTTTGGTTAAATTCAAAGTTGAAATAATGGTGTATTGTTTTTAAATTTATTTTATAGGTACAGAATTTAAACTGGAGAGTCCTTATGGAGATGAACTACCTGATAAGGTAATGAGTTGTATCTTTTTATACATTAACATTGACCAAGGAAGCCCGTTTAACTGTGGTAAGTTTCAAAGGAGGCCATAGCAAAATGTATAGTCCAAGACTGATCTCCAACAGGTCCTCTATTTAAATTCATTTTAAAAACGTTTTGGAGAAAGTTGATCAGACAGAATAAGGTTGATAATGTAACTAATTCTCTACACAGTGCACATGTGCTTTTGCTAATGATTTTGTTTCAAAGAAACTGGCAAATTAGGTGAATTTTTGACTTGTTACTTGTGTTGATCACTTTGATGTGAATCAGGCTCAAATATTCCTTAAAATTGTTGCAGGGCTTTGATCCTGGCGAGGACACATACCAGGTTGGTGATAAATCTTATTTAATACTGTAAAATCTTGAAATCAAATAGCATGATGCAACAGTAATGATGAGGAGGTTTTATTGACAAAATTCGGACCCTAGGGTGTTGTATGTGGAGTCAAAAGTTACCATAGTACAACATACATCTTGCGAAGTATTTTCTTTGGGGTTATTTAACCATATTTAAAAAGCACAATTCTCACCTGCAATGAGGCAGAATTTTATATGCATTCACTCTTACTTTTGCTTTTTATTTGCCTTGCCCACAAGGTATTTATTTTACCAAAAAAGTGAAAACAGAGCCTGACTGTAGCTGAAATGTTGTTTTCAAGTGAAAAATCTTTGGGATTACCTTTCCACGGTTCTTTTTTCTTCCTTTTATTCCACCACAGGATTAAAAATCATTTTATTCATTATTTTCAACAGGAAATTATCCTCTGTTGTTTTCAACTTATGTAGCTATGGAATAAAATAGCTTAGTCTTGTTGATAAACAAAACAATAATTTTTCTCATGTATGGATTGATCAGTCATCTCTATAAACGTTTCAAATATATTTCTCTACCCTAAACGTAAATGTGCACTGTTACAATATAGAGAGTACTTGGTATAAACTTATGAATAAAATGTGAATGACAAGAACATGAGGTGAAGGTTGCGCAGGCATGCCAGCCTCATTTTTTGGAGGCCCAAATCGTCTCCAAAAAAAAACAAGCAGTGGGTCATCTTCCACTCAAAATCAAATTGTTCTTTTATGATTGACCTCGTTCTTTACTCTACAGGCCCCACCAGCTGATGGCTCATCAGTATCAGTGGATGTAAATCCTCAAAGGTAAGGCTTTCTTGATCTTGGATGGTGACTGCATACTGAGGATGAGTTCAACCAACATAATTAACCTATCCATTAAATGAGGTTAAATAAATATTTATTTAACAGAGTTAACAACAAAGGGCGCGAGCGTGGTCAGCGGGCAGTCCTTTGGCTCAAGCGCGGTCAGCCTTGCTTGCATCGTCTCCATGTGCTCATTACAGTGTTTTCGTGGCGGCCATTCTCTTCGTTTAGCCTTTGGATCATTCTTTTACCCCCATCCCTCCCTCCCTTAATTCTTCCACTGTTAAATCAGTGTGACAGGTGCCTGGTTCCATTGGCGTGAGGGCTCATGGCTGGAGGGCGCGGGTTTGCCAGCCATGGGGGCGTAACTCTGTCTAGGGGCTGGCTGTGCCAAAGGTGGAAGCCCCTGGGCATCCCGGGCACCCACCTCCACTCAGCGACACAGTTGTTAACTAAACACTAAGAAGATGTCTTTAGTTTTAGTTTGTAGAGTGAGATGTGCGAGAGTTGTTAATGGTCACATGTGCCAGTGAGTTAAGTGTGATGGGAGAGGCCCCCCAAAAAGTCTTTCTTTTTCTTGCTTCATGTGGCTTCTCCACTCATTGCACCCCTCTTACTTTGAAGAAAAGTAAGAGACTGTTCGTAGTCTATATAACTATGACAGTGGTGTTATGAATAACTGCCACCCTCCTCAACTTTGTGTGTCTTGCCCTGTTAGACACACTAGTTTTTCCACCCCATACCATCCCTGACCATTCTGGGTCTAAATACCAACTTCTTGGACAGAAATCAAGGTACTGAATTACCTACTGAAGGGTTTTTCCGTGTTTTAGGTATTAATAATATTGTAGTTTATAAGTTGTTTCTCCCAATCGAAAATAATAGGACAGAGTAGGAGATGTCCAGCCTAGCCCTTGGGATTTGTGAATTTCACCAAAATTATACTACCGAAACAGGTAGACCGTTTTTTCGCAGACGTACGTAACAGTTGCCGTTAGCGACAAAGGTGATCGTTTTTGGTCACGTGGCTAAAGAGATGTTAGCTCCAAAGGCAAACGCACGTGATAACATTCCTTCGCATTTCTTTCCTCGCGCTTTGGCTGTCTATCGTCGCTTATCCGCTTTCGTTTAGTAATTCAACATGATCCAGCTAAAAGTGTTCTATAGTATTTCTTTAGCTATAATCGAATCGACTATCACACATCCAAAGCTATCGTCTACGCCTTTACCACGGACATAAGACCTTCCTTGTTTGTTTATGGAAAAGCCCGCCATCGTTTAATTCTCAGGAATGTGAAGGAATGCGATCACGTGTGCTTACATTTGAGGCGTCAGGGATAAATCACGTGCGCTTAGTTCAAATATGTTTCTCTGCAGAGGCAACTGTTTCGCGCGTCTGCGAAAAAACAGTCTACCTCTTTCGGTAGTATTTTTCAATTGGAATTTGGTTTCCGGAGAGTTCCTCAAACTTTTATTCAGTGTTGTCAAGAGAGAATTCAATAGTTGCCCTTATGATATTTTGCATGGCTTGCTTTGAGTCATTCACCCATGGACTTGATAACATTTCATGTGGACGTCTCTGGAATCAGACTTCCCTTTAATTACAACCTCTAAATAACTTGAGTGAAATTAACATATCCTGACCAACGCCCGAAAATTCCACCTCCGTCCCATTATTGTCTCGTTTCTCTCTGTTCCTGTAGCAACCGGCTTCAACTTCTGTCTCCCTTTGATAAATGGGATGGGAAAGACCTTCAGGATATGACCGTCTTGCTCAAGGTAATTATAGACTGCAAAACAGTCGGTTTTTTTCTCAAAATCAGTAAAGAAATCGGTAAAGCGTGGCGTAAGAGTCTTACGCGCGCGAAACGCGCGAGCCTCACACGCCCGTAGGGCGTGTGAGGCGAGAGAAAAATTTTCAGCGTCTCTCCCCAGTCTCGCTCTCTGTTTTCAGCCTCATTCCAGACCTTTTATTGACTTCTCGCGCGCACTTGAATACGCAAAAATACGGACTGTTTTGCAGTCTAAGGTAATTATTGCAATTGTTACAATTGGTCTGACAAGGATAATAAATCGCAGGGATATAAGTGAGCGAGACTTAAACCAGCAAGTGTTGCCCTTTAATTTTTCACAAACGTGCCATCCAAAAAAGATAGAAAAGTTGTAGTGTATTCAATCCTGCAAATAGGTAAATGTAGCTCAGCCTTTTACAGTGTGTTATCATGTAAGGTAGTCCTTGCTTTTATCAAATTGGTAGAAGTGTGCACTGATTTGTTGTTTGTTGGTTTGGTTGTTATTAATAGTAGAGCCAATTGCAAAGTTTTACTGTAAGGATCCAAAGAGTTCTGTACACCCGGGGCGTCCTGTGTGTACATTTTAAGATTTCCTTGTCGCAGACACCCTAAAGGGAGAAGTTAGCCTGCCAGGGGCCACTAAAGCACAGCCTAGTGATGTCTTAATACATTCACATTTTATTTACTTATTTCTTTACCAGGTAAAAGGAAAGTGTACCACAGATCACATCAGGTAGGAACACACTCTTACCATAGTACCGGCACCTTCTTTTGTGTCACGCATTCATGTCACACAACCGGGATTGCATGACACAGGAAGATTGCCTGACAGAAAGGGAAGAATAAAACAAAGATCAGGGGAGTGCCTTGAGAGGAAATTTAACATTATTTTTTCCTCAAGTGTCTCAAGCTAAAATCCTTTCCTACGCTGTTCAGGAAAAGAAACATTTGTTCAACTGCAGTGTTTAAGACAAACAAAAAAGTAGTGTGAACTACTTGATTAGGAGAAAAAGAAAAATATTCGATGTTTGCCATCCAAAATGTCTGAGTTCTGTTAACTTAGAATGTGTTTGTGTTGTATAGTGCTGCAGGTCCATGGCTCAAATACAGAGGACATCTGGATAATATTTCCAATAACATGTTTATTGGGTAAGTATAGATGGTAACCAGCCTGCTAATGGCAGTAGTATAGCACAATTTTACGCTGTTTGATGACTTTGTTATCGTTATTGTTATCGTTCAACTCTGTTTACCAGACATCAGCCCCAGTGTCTTGCTTATACTGTAAGGGATTTGAATGATTAAAGTGATTAGAGAATGTTTCTCCAACAGAGCTATCAACAGCGAGAATGACAAGGCAAACCATGTCAAGAATCAGGTGACTGGGGAGTACGGGGCAGTTCCTGACACTGCAAGATACTACAAGGTACGCGGTCAAACTTGAACTAACCTCTTGTCAATTGTGTTCAATCGAAGAGTCAGCCAATGGAAAAGCAAGACATTTGTTGATCTGGAAATAACTAGAAAACGTAAAAATAGTACATGACCTTATCTTAATGAGATTCCCACGCATTTTATTCGTGAGATAAAGAAAAAACGCAACTTTATGGGACTCCCCTGCGAAATAAAGGAGTAACCGGTGCTCCTTATACCTGGTAACATTAGTGGTAACGCTGTTTGTTTCACAAATGCTAACGGCAATGACGATATTATAGAAGTACCCTTGTGGCTTGATCATTTGCATAAAATACATTTAATGTTGAAAACTATGAAGTGGTTGTTTTTTTTCTTTACTGCTATCCAGGCCAATGGTATCAAATGGGTTGTAGTTGGAGATGAGAATTATGGTGAAGGCAGCAGTAGAGAACATGCTGCTCTTGAACCGAGACATCTAGGAGGAAGGGCGATCATCGTCAAGAGTTTTGCACGTATTCACGGTATGTTTATTCACCCAGGGTTCTGGTAATAGTTTTTTGAACTAAGTGTTATTCAGGGTGGTTACCCTACGCTCGTCTCCTCCCAGTTACAGACCCCTATTTTTCCGTGGGATATTCGAAGTCGATCGCCGAATTCGCAGAGGTAATGCTACTGCAGTTAACTGTCCCTAAGTCAGACTGCTCTGAGACCAGCACCATGTGTCCATCTTAGAGAGATAAAGAGTGAACTAAAAACGAGTGGAGACATGCAGGAAACAACTGTAGATGACCTTCTTAGAGAGATGTCCATCCTAAAAAGTGTCAACTAAAAGGAGTAAAGTTAGGCAGGGGCCAACTCCAGGCATCCGTCCTAGAGACAAATGAAAGGAGTAATGAAAGGCAGGGACCAACTCTAGACTCCGTGTTAGCGAGGTGCCAGTCTAATAGAGGATGGACTGTATCTTGATTTCTTATGAGAAGAGTACAGTGTCCATTGAGACAAGGATGGGAGGAAATATGGTTGACCCCTGTACACTCGAGCATTATTTTTTTTGTCACCCCTAAGTCAAACTCGGAACAATAACATAGAAAGTAAAGGACTTTGAACCGTCTTTTATCATTATCTATCCAAGCGTTTTTATTTTGTTCCATTGTTTTCTCTGGCCTTTTTGTCCTATAAAGACAAGTTAAAGATGCGTTCACCGTCTCAAAATTTTGGTTGTAAGCAAAAACTACAGGACAAGCATAACTGGTTTCATTTGGCAGCATTAATTTTCGCGTCTTTGAAACTGGGTTATACTTAGCCTCCCCGCAGACGTCCTTTGGAGAAATGAATGCGTGACAAACGAACCCCAAAGGACGTCTGCGGGGAGGCTAGGTTATAATTGGTTAGGTCTGCACTTCATAGTATGATATGAACTATTTCTTATTGTTTCCCTACAGAAACAAATTTGAAGAAGCAAGGTAAGATTTGTGCCTCTTTTAGTAAAAACTTGATTTTCTCTTTGACAAATGTGAGCTTTCCAGTAATTAATCATGAAGCGAACACAAAGGAATTTACCACTGTGTAGGAAGATTGGATTACGGGTACTAAGTGCCATGATATATTTAGACTTCTAGCTTTGAACAGGGCCAGAATTGTTGTTGTTTTAAGGAGCAAACACTTGATCTTAGAATAAAAAACACTTGGTCTTAAAAGAACCCAGCTGCGCCTTTTTGCGCGACCCCGAACTTCTTGCGATTGGATAGCGGTTGAAACATGTGTCTCGTGTGATATATTACCGGTACTTAACCATGCAGTGGATAACACATTTGAGTTTGTTGCCCCAGACTGGGTAGTGATTTCATAAATGTGGAACGTTTCCGTAGACTACAAGCAGTCTTTTTTTATTATTAGTCCGTCGAGCGAAACGCGCGGAAGACGAAAAATGCAACCCGTCGAGCAGCTAATCGCACGCGCGTGAACTGCCGCCCTCGCGTTTTACGCGCGCGTGCACTTCCCTCACTAAATTGGTACGAAAAGAGAGACTGCTTGCAGTCTACTTTTTTCACCTCTGTACCGACTGCACTGATCTAGCGTGTTTTTCTTCGGCAGGTCTTCTACCTTTGACATTTGCTAACTCGTCTGACTATGACAAGATTCTACCTGATGACAAGCTCTCACTTATGGGGCTAAAAGACCTTGCTCCTGCAAAGGTATTTTGGCTAACACTCAGGGGCACCCAACGAGAATATAGTTCAAAACCTCTTAAACATAGCACTGTTAAACGTTTTTTAGTATATAGGCATATTTTTATCCGCTAAAAAGTTTTCATCTGTTCGGATTTCCTAGCTGAAAGTCTAGTGATCCGAAAATTACAGGGATCAACACTTACCTTCTCGAAAATTTCAGCCAGAAAAAAGGTTCCGGAAAATTCTAGGTGACCTTTGTAGGGTAAAAACCCGTTAAAAATGGGCAATTATACCATTTTTTAGATGCTCGAAAATCCTAGGAGAGGCAGACAAGCAATAATTTTACAACAAATGTTCCGAAAATTCTAGATCTCAAATCGTTTTCCGAACAGATATTTTCCGAAAATTGACGTCGGATGCCCCCGAACACTATCTTTTAAAGGCAGACTCGTACATAGTCGCTATTTATGAGTCTAGGAGAAAGGCTTGGAAGGGGGAAGACTGGATTTCATTGAAGCATGCTGGGAGTCATGGGAACGCTCTGCGCGCCTTATTGTAAACCCAATCCTCTCTCATCCCGAAAACTCACAAAAAGTGACTGGGTATGCGTCTATCGTAATGGGGCAGTTTGAACAAGATTTATGCATTAAATGCAGCAAAAGTGTTGACACGAATGGAATTTAAACAGGTGGCTATACGTAAGTTACTATGCTTAAAATAAAACTGATCTATTAACGACCCGTAGGAAAGAAGTGAACTCAAAACTTGAAACGCGGGGCCGATATTCCCTCTGTTATATTTGGCAAAAATCGTTCAAGGTAAAAACTTTCGAGTTTTACTCACTTTTGCAGTGGTTTTATCTTTATTTCATTTATTTTGATTTCAAATCGAACTCGCGTTGCGCACTCTACCGAGTTTAAAGTAACCCGTATGATTTCAGACCAAATTGCACTCCACTCAGTTCAAATTACCATTATAACCTTCAGGGTATCTTGTGTATGCAGACGTGTGTGCAACCTTTGAGTTAGAATAATTTTCTCCCTTGTTTTAACACGTCTTTACCATCTTCTCAGGACTATTATTTTCCTTTTCTTTTGTCTTTCAGCCTGTTAAGTGTGTGGTGAAACACGCAAATGGAAGGCAAGATGAAATGCAGTTGAATCACACTATGAACGAGACCCAAATTGAGTGGTTCAGAGCCGGCTCTGCCCTCAACAGAATGGCAGAAATGTCTTCAAAGTAGAACGAGCTCCTCCTCGTCTTCATCCCACTTCTTGGTACCCTTTGTTCCGCGTCATCTCCGCTTCATAGAGCAATGACAGAAAATCAGTGATAAAGTAACGAGTTTTTCACGAACAGTTCCTCAGACGCCAATGCAATGTTGCGCATTATATTGTGGTTTTAATTGTGATACGACGAACAGTTATCCTCGTGTCCTCTTCTTTCCAATGAATGTACAATAAAGGACAATTTTGTTGCAATTTCTTTTGTTCAAAATTATGTTCAGGAAGATACTCTTTTAGAGGCGTGTTTTTTTTACAGAAGGTTGCAATGGTTTGTTTTGTTAATGAACAGCTTCAAGAGAAAGGATAGTTGAATATGATTGATGTTGTTCATCTTCAATAAACAAGGACACTCTTTATGGTTGTGCACTTTCTTCTTGCCTTCGATACCGTTAAATGCCGCTTTATAAGACCTGGGCGTATACATCTTCCTAGAAATAAGAAAGAGCGTTTCAAAGAAAAAGCGTTAGAAAAAGTAAGAATCAAAAAAGTGTTTCAAACCAAGCTAGCAGTGCTGATCAAAATGCGTTTTGCATTTACTTTTGTTTTAAAATGAAGCTGCGAAAAGTCATATTTCAATAGATTTGGAACAGATGCCTCTTGGATAATAAGTTCTGTAACAGTAAAAGAAATAACAAAAGACTGGTTTCGGTTTCGACTGCGAGGAGCATTTAAACCCAGCAAGTGGGTACGCCGCGGCAATCGCTTCTCGTTTTTAAATGCGGGTGTGCATAATAAATTCGTGGTAAATTGGCTAACTGATATGAGAGAAAAAGAATGAAAGAGGGAAAACACCCGCGTGTAACAACCTAGTGGATTAAGAACCCCCTGGCGGAAATTACCAATCTACATGACAAATGTTTCCAATCGAGTTATTGCGCGAAAGTTTCTCTCTCTCCAACTTTCTCGACGAACTCGCGTGGAAACGCGTTAAGCCTAACAAGATCAAGCAGGTTCTTATATGTGGGTTAGAAACATTTTAACCAAGGAGTTTGACTTTTACATGGCAAATTTATATTACAAGAAAAAACTGTACCAAACTGCAATGACAAATAAAAGTATTACTGTAATTCCTACAACAAAAACAGGTCTATATAAAGTACAGGCTGTAATTGTCTGCATGAAACATGGAAAAAGGAGGTTTACAATGTGCAGTTGTGAACATATACTGCACATTAAGGGACCAACCTCAAATTTATTTTTCTGGTAGTCAACAACTGTATCTCCTTCATAGAAATAAATAACCTACTTAGCCTAAATTGCCAATACACACCCCAAAATACAAGAACCTATTTTGCCAGACTTCAGAATGTAGGATCTAATACTCGGATGTTTACTGTACTCACAATTTCGTTTTCTTGGGCGTGGGGATATATTTTGCTGTCACAATTAGTTATTTGTTTAGGATATGACCCACTAATTGTTTTTTGAAGGCAAAATCATGTAACTTTCATTTTCATAAAAACGATGTCACATGACCTCTTAGTACAAATAGCCTATTTTAAAGACAAAGCAAACCTATGACAGCCAGGGCAGTCAAAAACTCAAACAGAACTGCTCCTCATTCAACTTCAACAGTGGTGGGCGAGAAGAACAACACCTGGACATAATTTGAATTACTTTATTTTGTTCTACTAAAATTTATACACACAACATTGTTTTATACAAAATACTTCATTTGATATCCTCCTCACAAATAAAATTCATGCCGACTGGTGTACATACAAAAATATATTAAAATATTCAATTCTTGTTGCACACAACTTATTTTGCCAATATTATACGAGTATATATTACACAGGTCTTGTGCCTTTAAAATAACCCAACGCCGTGGCTTTAAAAGTTGACTGTCCCAGATGGCAAGCTGCTGTTGCACAGTCTATAATACCGTAAATCGCCTACAAATCGGTGAATGCTCTGCGTAAACGATGGTAAGTCCTAAAGAAAAAAATTCAAAGTCAGTACCGTGGTTCGGTTTTCATCATTCGGGCAAAAGCTCAAGAGGATCAGTGAACGGGGAGAAGGCATGCCATGCGGGCATTTTCGGCCTCTCTTGCTAATATGTTAAATCACATTACAACTTTGCTACTTTGACACTGGCTAATGAATGTTTTGAAAATTACAATGTGAGTCAAAGTACAGTTTGTAAATCAAAAACTTTATTTCTAACGTATGTGGTGGACACGAGAAATATGTATATACTCAGAAATTGTCTAAGGAGCATCGTAAAATGCTCAGAAGTTAAGGAATCACAACTGTACTGACTACTGAACTGTACCCGGCATTGGTCCTTAATACACCGATATAACAATGCTCAAATCATGAGCCAATAGGCCATTTCTGAGTTCCCCCCGAGCCTCTGTATCAAAACGAGGTTAAGTGCTCAGCCTTTGATATGGAGACGATTTTTCATTCTCACGCAAGTAAGACTTATTTTCAAAAGAGAGAATGGCAGTTGGCCTCATTTTGAAAGTGACAGATTTTGGAACTCGGGAGTGGCCTATTATTGATAGCAATAAAAAAAGCTGTTGCAAGTGCATTTTGTTTCTTTTATAAAACGCCTTTAATGTTAGTGAATAAATAACGTGCACTACGCAGTAAACATTATCTGTTCCATGTGCTCCCTAAAATAGTGTGCAGACCTTTCTCACCTGACATTCAGAACTCATTCCAATATAGGTATACCTTTTTCTCAAAGCGACTAAGGGCGTTTTAAAAAATGGAGGTGGGGGATCCCAGGTTGGTGAGGTAACCCGCCTGTCCATATAATCTCTCACTAAAATAATTTGATCACGTTTACATGATCGGTGGGGTGACCCGCCGCATGTTATCTCACCTATCTGGGGTCCCCCACCTCCAAGTAAAAAGGCCCTAAATCGGACCTGATTTACGTTTGGTCACAAAAGTCTCTCGCATAGAAGTAAGATTTCACAAACCAATCACAGACAGTTCCAGTTACTACGGACACCCTCGCGACGGCAAGTGAGAGTCACCTAAATCTGGAGTTTATTTCAGTCACACGGCTGTTATTTGTTTTGCCTGGGATTCAGGGTTAGAGAACTGAGTGTATAAGGAAAGGTAAAGGATGAGAGATACCTTCATTGTGAGTACCTCGCAGCAGGGGAAAGTTAAAAAAATTGAATAGACACATGTCTTCCATTTTCTGAGTCGATTTTAAAGGCCTGTATCACTAATTTTGTTCATTATGATACTGTTCACTGCAATTACCTTGTCCGGAGTAAAATTATTGCCTAGTTCAGTCTTCTGCGAGTCTGTAAGTCCCTCGCAGCCGCCAAGAAAACGAGGTAAAAACGCAGAGTAGAACGAGTCAAAGTCCACGGCCGCCATGTTGTAAAGAGTGATGGTTATCTCTTCCTGTAACAAGTCATGTGATCTGTACACCAGAGCTTGAAGGAGAACGTTTAAAAACTGGAGAAGCATGAGGTCTTTGAAGATTGTCTGAAGAAGGCAAAAAAATTAAGGCTATCAGGTTTGGGTTAGCAAAAGATGGATGGAGAAGGACAAAAAACAACAAAAAATCACATCGCTTTCAGTTGAATAAACGGACCAGTCACCGTTAAATGGTGATAACACAGTTGACTCCAAGGAATTGAGAAGTTTACTTTCGTATTATCCTTTGATAAGGGCCATGCTCACTAAAAGTCACCATCACTTATCAAGGTTTTATCCCAATAAGATAAGGTCCTTTAAAACCATACACTCAAGCAATCCCCAACATCCCTTATTATAAGGGCATATACTACCTACCTTCTGATAAAGTTTCAACTTAGAGTTAAGGTTTTCTAATGCTTCTAGGTTTTGTTTGAATATTGTGATATCAGGTTGAAGAAAAGACTGTCCAAATGCCTGCAATGTAATAAAGATAAGAAAACGATAATAAAGGTTTTGCAAGATTTTCTTGGTTTTAACGTATTACAAAATGTTTGAGGTCAAGAAAGGGATTTTTAGAAATGAAATTCTCTTTACTCTATAAAACCCAGTAAACTGGTACAATCATTCGGGAAGGCGAGAGAGCAGACTGGGAGGGAAAGACAGGAAAAATAGGGCTTCAAATTTTTCAGTGCATATCGTCGTTCGTTTTTTCTCCCTCCAGTCAATGCCATTTTCACGTCGTTCGGGTTCCCGTTACTTTCCCTAACTGCCGCAATTCACCACCTCAATCATTCACAAATTGCTCCTGTCTGGCCCTGTAGCTCAGTCGACAGAGCTTTTTTCTTTGGTAAATCTAATTCAGAGGTTGAGGGGTCCCCTCACTACCAAGAATTAAAGATTGTTTCTTTTCGTCAAATATCCTTTACTCGGGTTTACGCTCAGTGGGGCTTATGGATCATCTCTATCACACCAATTTATACGACGGTATTAAAACCTTTTGTTCCATTCTGTGTCACATTGCTATGTGGCACAACATTTGCATGCCTGCTCATTTACCAGATTTCTTTTAAGTGACTGCCGACTGCACGAACTGTGGAGGAGGCAGCCTCTAAATGATCATAATGTGACAGAGTTATTTGTCAAAGTCATAACCAATTCTCCACTACTACAAACTCTTGTCATTCCATGTTCTGCAATTTGTCAAGGGAAGCAACAAAGGGAAAACGTCATGGTCAATGAAGATCATTTCTTGGCCCATTTTATCAATTTGTCACATAAAACAGCAAGCCAACATTATACACTAGAATGCTAAAAGCGGCTCAAAGAGAATTAACAGACACCACTAGTCCTTAATTGGACATGACCTACCTGCATAATGGCGGTGAACTGAGGCTGGTTCTCTACTGTATCTTCACCTGTAGACATCTTGGCCAGCAGTGATGTACGAAAGAAGTAACGCCAGTTATGAAGCAACAGTTGATGGAGCAGCTCATAAAATTCACACTTAATATCAGGGCAGGGTTGCTGAGGGGAAAAAAGAGCAGCTTAAAATCACACCAAGACGATTTTAGAACATGAGTGAACCACCCACTTGAAGTACTGAACAACATAAAAAATTCCGAACCAAAACCATGCTAATATTGCTTTGCGAAGACATGTAAGAAAAGTGATTGTTTTAGTAAACGAAGACGGAACCTTCTACAAAACAATAGACGATTAAGGTTGGACGGACAGCTGTCTAGTTCAGTTTGTTAATATTACCAATTACGCTTCCTCGTGCACTATGAAACTTAACGTAAGGTAAGAAATTACTCGTAAATGACAAAATCACAGTTTCATGACCAACAAATATACCTAACAAGTATTATATCAAAGGTTACAAACAAGGAAAATGAAGTTTACTACACTGTTCCTGTTGGGCCTACAAGTTTCAAAAAACCCACAATTACACTCTTTTCTCCTTCAAGCTTCTCCGTCCGTGCCTTATTTTGTATTTGCTGTATTATTTATAGTGTACCATCTCTTAATGGTCTGAGCGGCTATTTTAATGTTTCACTCGATTTTATTATGTGGCAGTTCCTACAGTTAGACGATTTTGATAGATTTCGTGACACAGCTCCTTTAATATTTACTTGTTTTAAATGAAAATGTACCTTTAAGGATTACTTATTACAAGAAAAGCAGGATTTACGTTTATGCTGGAAATATCAAAATTGCTACGAAGTTAATGAGCGGGACCAGCAATTCGTGACGAGAAAAAACGACATTGGAATTCGTTTCCACCTCATGAAGCTTTTACAACTTGCACTCAAAAGAATATTATGGCATTTTTAGAAAAGCCGTAGAACTCCAGCGACCATCGTTTCTTACCTCGATTATAATTGGGTAAAGCTGATCCATACAAAGTCCAATGATATTGGGAAGGAATGTCTTGAATGAAGAAGCAGGTTCCTGGACCAACAGCTGAAGAATCTTGAGGAACTTGTTGATGACACGTGAGCCTGCAGTGCCCTCATGCAGTAGTGTCTCTGCAAGCTGCTGTCGGGTGAAGGAATGAAGCAGTTGTTGTACTATCTGTTCTGTCACTGCTGGGCCTATCTGCACCTTCAGACTCTCAAAAAGTGTCAACAGGAAGCCCAGGATTGAATCAGTGGTAGCTATAAAAAAAGCAAAAACAACCAACCTGTTAACAGGGAGTGATAGGTAATTTCCTCTCAGGTTGCACTTATTAAAAGTATTTAGTCTTTAACAGGGTTCAACGATTTTAACAACTTCACAATTTAATTATTTTGGCAAATTTTCAGTTAAAAAATTTGACGTCTTGAACAGGGTGTGTCTTTCGCTGGAAGCCATGAACAGGGTCTAAATGCTGGTCAACTTCTAATGTAACCGGTCAACTTCTATAATGTCAGCTACCAGTACATCAAAGATTATCCTTAATTTGGTGTGTAACATGAAATGAATCAGGATCACGAAAAATTGTCTCTTATCTTAAACAGGATAGCGAAAAGAAAAGATTTTGTCATCTGGATCAGCATTTAAAGGCTTCAGCCTCAAGAAGGAAAGTATGACTGTAGCTAGTTTCAATTGAATGGAATTGAATTTTTTGAATGGAATTAGTTCGGTTACAGGGAACAAAAGGATATAGTGATACTCTAATAAGCAACATTTTGCTGTATGGACATACCTGGATTATGTATAAACAAGGGGAAGATTGTGAGAGTAAGTTGAACTACATCTGCGATAGACTGGTACAGAATGAGTTTGGTCTTGGTAACTTGGTCTTCTGCTGCTGAAGCCATTAAATCTGCCAACACATGGAGTGTGAAATCTATGTGGGTCTTTGCTGTAATAAAGAAAAAGAAACAAGAAAACCATCAGCCCATCAGCATTCTGTAGCTGGATATAGGCAAAAGTTAGTTTCTCGTGAGTACAAAAAACTATCAGGAAAATGAAAGTTATTGGCACAGGCAGTGTCTGACTTAAAGTGGGTCAGAAAAATCACTGGGAAACACAAGGGACAATCTCTAGGTGACTGTCTTGTAGAGGTCCCTCAAGAATGGTGTAGAGGACTTGACTGCGTGACAAAAATTCAGGTAACAGCCCATCACACAAAGTGCTTTTTAAGAGTGCAGATGTGGTTTTCGATCTCTAACAAATTTTCCCAAGGCTTGGCAGTAAAAAAGCAACGTTATCTGGGCTAAAAATGACTCAGGCATGGCAAAAGCTTGTGAAATAAAGTTGCTGTTTCTAGATGCAGACACCTTTACCAATTTTAATATTTGGTTATGGTATATTCAATAAAGATTTTTAGCAGAGACATACATTTTGCCATTTTAGAGAAAAAGGGCCATGAGAAAAGTTCCTCTTTTTATGATAGGTAGACATCTATACTACGTTATCATACCCAGTCTTTGGCAAGTTACATAGGATAGCAGAAGGTGAAGGAGTTTTGAACTTTGTCAAAGCAACTAGCAAATTTAAAAAGTGGCCCACAAGCAAACTAACGTTCAAGTCGATGGTGTTTTAGATCTTGCTTCCTCCAACACAACTACTAGATAAAAATCATGGTATTCCAAGAACTCACCACTTTCCTGCAGTTGTTTGTTTTCTGAGAATCCTGGAGTTTCCACTAAATTCTTGAATGTTTGTTTGATGCTCTGTATGAACCTTTGATGACTTTGGGACCGGACCTCCCACTCCTGTTGCCCAAACAACATGAATTAGTTCTTTTTTTTGACACTAACATTAACTTAAAGAATGCCGGTTCCATGTTTAATCTATCATCACGGAAAAGGCAGCACACGTTTTGCAACTAAGGCTCTTGTTCAGTCATCAGCAGTGCTTCTGGGGACTGAATAAGAAACAAGGGGAGGATAAACAGAGGATTGGAAAAGCTTCAACACCCTTGGCACTGGGCATTAATTGGGCTACATCAGCTGCTATTCTGTTGCACTGTATACTGCTGTCTATTTTCTTGCATTCTATTTGATGAACAAGCACACTGGTTGGCACGCCAAAGCATGCAGAACACAAGGCGGTTGAGGGCCCCTCTCCTAGTCACAGGAGGCAGAATGACCAAGCTGTTGAAACACTGGACTTCAAGGCCAGCCCTAACCACTAGCTGTATTTGCTCCCGGCATTCCAGAGTTTAATTCCTCAGCCACAGCTGTAAATAGCCAACTGGTTTGCCCCTGGCCAGTTGGGATTCTTACTTGTTATGTTTATTTCTATGGTTTGTTACTCTCTTTATTTGTATTTGTGTGCCACTATGAATGACTGGATTACAAGTGCAGTTGATTCTGACTAATAGAGAATGAGGCGGCTAGAAGTTGGTGTCCGTAATAAGTGGATCACGTTAGCTAAAATGCCAACATCCCTTTTTGATGAAACAAAACACCTAAGTAATAAAACATAACATTAACATCGTTGCACTAAACATCTCTAACTTACACCAATAATTCTGCAGTCTATGTCTGCACAAACACTAAAAGTCGCTCATTTATACATCAAAAGCAGAACTCAGCCAGCATAGCTCATTTGCTGCAAAAATTACTTAAACATTCACATCTAGACTTAATTTTATTTCACCTACTATGGAACTGTAAACATCACTACTGTGCTTTAACAAGGGGAACCAAATCATGTTAACCTCTCCTACCTGTTCATTATCAGCTTTACTTGGCCATGGTAGTACAAGAGCATTTGACAAAGACCTGATAACCAATGTCTGCACCTGTTAGATACAAAATTATCATCAGTGACCTTACCCAATACAAGTTGCAATTAGACTGCAAAAGAGTCCGTATTTTTGCGTACTCAAGTACGCGCAAACAGTCAAACTAAAGGTCTGGATTTTGAGAGACCTATTTTGAGAAAAAAAGCGACTGTTTTGCAGTCTAAGTTACAATGTACTGTGCACTGAGCTCTAAAAGAAGCACAAAAATGTCCAAGTTATTTTACATTTACTACCTTTCAATCTGGTAGCCAAAAATTACCAGCAGACCAACGAGTCAGTCTCAAAAACTATTTGAAATATCTGGGCAATTAATAGCCCTTTGCACGATTACATCAGAACAGCTAGTCTGTCTGGTCTTCTGTTTTGAAATAAGTACTTGAGCTTGCCAGTGTAAAGCAAAAAGGCTTCAAGATAAAGAGTACCTCTAACGGCATTTCAAACAATGCTCCACTACTGACATCATGGAAGAGTTTCTGTATGTTATCTAGTACTGTCATGAATGAAGGCCGCACAGTAGATGCTAAAGAATTCAGCAGGTGTGAAGCAGGTAGAGAGATCCTTTGGGGAACCTGAAAGAAATATACGTACCTTTAAAATAACTGAATAATTTTTGAAAAGCTGATTAGTTGAAAGATGAAAAGTCTATGAGAGTTTGGCTCCAAAATGATGTAAGAATGGTGCAATTTGTTTTTCTCAGTTTTTCATGCGAAACTTTCCAAAGAACCTTGCTAGAAATGGATGTTTAACACTTTAAATGCTATTCAACTAAAGTCAAAAACAATGAAACCAATTTTCCATTTTTCATGCTCTTAAACAGACAATGTAAAATTGCTGCTTATTATTTTTGTTACACTGTAGGTCTTACACCTCATGACTTTTCTAGCTTTTAACCACTCAATATGAATATGAGAGAATCTTCAGGGTATTTGAACAGCTTACTCCCAAGAAAACCACACTGGTAATAGAATGTCAAAGATACAGTTTGAAATCTTGCACATGCAGTGCAGTCTCAAAAGTTTTACCTGGTTATGATCCACTGACACACGTCACAGACAAACTTTGTCATACAAATCAAACTTACCTCTTTATTCAATAAAGGTATTAATGCATCAACAGCGTTGGAGATGAGCTTAACAAACTTTTCCTGGTGTTGTTGTTGCCTGTGAGTTTCCAAGTAATACTGAGCCATCCAGTGACAGTAAGCTTGCAAGGCAGCCAGTCCCTGGGCATGGCTACAACAATAAAGAAACCTAACATCAAAATTCAGATTCTCGTTTGTTGTCCCTATAGATACATTTCCTATGAAAGTTTTCTATGTAAGCCTGTTAAAGCCCCTATATATATGATCAGTTTTCAGTTTTGATTTCCTGGAAAGTCTGACTTCTGCAACTGGTCTTACTGATTGACCGAAGTGACGAGGGCAGCCTTCGGTCATAAAATTCTTTGAGGTTTTTAAACCTTTTGATCAATTGATTAACAGGCTGTTTGAACATAAAAACGTTTTTGAACGCAAAAGTTCAGATAATCAGGACTATAAAGGAGTGTACCCGGACAGATTTCCTAGCTTAATTGTGAGTTATTGTGCGTATAGAAAGGCAAAAGACATGGTAGTGGAAGGTTACTGTTACTCACACTTCAGTAAAATCCTGTTGAAGTACATTAGGAACAGCCGTGTGCACTGCATACATTTGGCTTTGTGTACCAAACAATGAGATTTGTCCGAGTCTCTCTACTATAGCCTCTCCATCATTGAATCTGTTGGCAAAATTCACTTCACCAATAAAATGTTCAGACAGACGTCCCAAAGCACGCTCCATAGTGGTCAAATCTCTGAGTGTGCAGTGTAAATGACGGCACTCACTCTCTGCAGTAATGCTAAGGTGAAGACCTGCAAAGAGAACAGATCAAAGAATACTTTACATTTATATTCAAAATATCTCTATTAATAAATGCACACAGCCATAGAGAATAATCATAGAGCATTTTTAATGAAGAATGTTTACCCTGGCTTGCACTCTTATAACACTTACCAAAAGACAGAACTAGCAGGCCAGACTGGTCACTTTAAAAGTGAAATAGACCAATTGACCAATCAGATCAATAACCAGAGTTTAACATCATCAACTGACATGATACAACTCACTTTGACTGTGAAGATGACTCCTGCACAGGTTGTCAAAATGTCAGTCACTGTCAACAACAGCAGTGCCAGATCCAGACCTTGAGATAAGGGGGGGCCTGGTCATCCAGAGCCTGAAGTAAGGGGTTGAGCCCGGTTTTCCAAAAAATTTTTTCAGCCCTTCGGAACTCAGTTTGGTATATAAAGAAGTGCGTGTGCGGGGTTGGGGGGTGGGGGGCACAGGCCCTCTGGGCCCCTCCCCTGGATCCACCACTGAACAGTCATATTCAGGATATGTTCACCCGGATGATCATACTCAACCTACAATGGAGGTCAAAAGTGTTGGGACCTTTCAAGTGACATTACTAAAACTAGCGACCCCTCCCCTCCCACCCCAAACAAAGCTGAATCTTGTGCAAAATGGGTGAAAATGAGTGCTTTTTTGGCCACAACATTGCTGGGGGGAGTGGGGGGACTACAGCATGAACCCAAAGCCGAACAAAAAATTGTCGTTAGGAGCAGGGTCCTACGTAAGAATTACTTAGAAGGGTTTTTTCACACAGTCCCAATTTCTTTTGTCCTCCATTGTAATTATGAAGTGACTCCTGAGTTCAAACCTTTCACTGAAATAGATTTTACGTGGGAGTTTTGTTAACAATGTGTCACTGCCATGCATACTATTGACATACACTGATCTACTGATTAACAGTAAAATTCTGTTTACAAATGCACTGGTCTGGCTTTAGCCAGTTCTGAATACCATCAAAGATGAGCACCTTTGGACTCATGTAGACAAGTGTAATTTATGATAATACTATAATGTGACCATTCAAATAAGAAAGACTGATTATTGCATGCTATCATAGATTCCCTTTTTTTGGATTTTTCTTGTGTTTTGGCACCAGCAGGGTTACATGACAAATTGGGGAAAAATTTACACTGTAAGCAAGCTCTAATAAAAATGACCAAAGGAGTCAAACTGCATGGTTTTTTTTAATGAATGCCTGTCATCTTCATCAGCACAGATAATTTCGAAAACTACACAGTCAAGACATTTTGCTCCCTTTGAATGGTAACAGCTTGCTGTTGCAAACTACAAGTTTAACAAAAAACCTATCAAATCAAACAAACAAAAAAACATAAATACATGAAAGTTTTTTCTGACACAAATCAATTTATGGTGACATTCACTATTATTTCCATATTGTTAGACTTGAAAATTGGCCATAAACTTTAAAATTTATGGAGGGTTCCTGTGTTATCAGAAATAGGAAACTGACAAAAATAAAACCTACCATGAGCAGACTTTGTGACATATTTTCCAAGGCCAACATAAACATCACAATATTCACTGAACAAAGGGAACTGAAAAATACAAAACAGCAATGCATAAAATAAAACCGTGAGAAATCAGGTTGCTCAAAGTACTGGTCCTTGTGGCATTTGTCTTTGAGACAGATGAGAGTTGACAGTACTCATTAAAAAAGGATGATTGGTCCTGCAGTCAAAACATAAGACTTCACCTCCAGTTTTCATTGTTGGATGGCTACATGTGTTACTTGTTTTATTGACTGCCAACAGCAGCGCTCACCACTGGACTGGTTTGTGGGGTATAATTTCAGTTTTAATGTGGCTATTAAATAAAATATAGGCTAAGTTAACTCGAGATAATGCTGGCCAGCATTCTCTCACATGTGATTTTCAGGGGGCATGCCATGGCTGCCATGGGCCTTTGGGATTTTAAAGCTTTTTGGATGACGTCAGCCCCTTGTGCTCCCATTGCCTTTCATGGCTCATGTTCATTAGCACGTTTTTGCTTCCTACCCTTCCATTCCTTTGATAAGTGTAATATGGTAAGTGTGACAATGCCTGGGTGAATGCCATTCACATGGTTGTCAAGGTTTCACTCAGCTCACTTCCAGCCTCCAACACCCTTTTGAGCACTTCCCCCCAGTTCATTTCAGTTGATGAATTTACATTAGGTTGATGGTTCCAGACACCAGATTCTCATGCACCCAGCCACCAATTGCAATATAAACATTATTTGAACAACACAACAATTGTTGAAAAATTGATTTCACTGACCAACTTCTGTGCAAGTACATTAAGAAAACTGACACACATTAAGTCAATCATTACCAATAAAGAGAAGGTTTCTCCAGGTAGCAGCTCAGCTAACTTGGCCACAATTTCCAAGCAATGCCTTTGAAACCCTTGCCACTCTGTCTCGGACTGAAACAGAACCAAACAGTAAATAATTTTACAATAACTAAGCGATCTCTGGTGTGCTGACTGATCAAGAGCTATGGTCTATGAGAGCACAATGTATTGACCATGGAAATGGTGTGATGATAATGCAATTTTTTATAGACCACAAAAATGATGTAAAAATGTTGCAATGAAACACTTGGCTGCAGCTCATAGTTCCACTTTGGTTTTGGACATTTTGACATCTTTTGTATGGTCTAGACTATTGAAAACTGTTGAATTTTTGTTACATACATTTTAAGAGATGCTTGGGATAAAGACACAAGAAATGTCTAATAAACTTCTCGACGCTTTCCAAGTTTCGTTCATGCTTATGGGTCAAAGTGAGCAAGAGGGAACCGGTAAATGGATCACCAATCTATGTAACAGTCTATGCTACAATGGTGCCAATTTTTAGGACCCTGCATTCATCTACTGCAGAGAAAGTCAGCTCTCACTGCATGCATCATGTCTATCATAATTATAATAATTATCATCATCATTCAGACATAAGAAAATCCTAAATCCTGTTCTTTCTTCTAAACTTTGCTGCTGTATTAATCTATGGTCAACCTGCTGTAATTTTATAAGACTTTCTTGCAATACTCGCAATTAAAGAGTTTACATACATCATCATCCACACTTTCATCATCAAGTTCCTGTAGCTGGCTCTCGTTATGTCTGAACTGCATCTTCTTTAGCAGCTCAGTTAACAGCATTAGTAGAACTTCCTTGTACCTGCCATGTAAGTAGAATAATGGAACACTGATACGAAAACTACTGTCTTCTTCTCACAGTCTTCAATTTAAATGGTTACCCCTCAAACAAGTATTGAATTACTCTGATTTGTTGCATACAGAGCCAAACCCGAGTTTCTGAGCACAAGGATAATCTGCACAGAGTCTAACCCTGGGTGGGGACTCCGCATATGAAATGGTTGGGAATGCTCGTCGGAAATTTTGAATTAAACCCCTAAAGGAGACCAATCTGGGCATGGCCCAAGCCTTTTTTGACCCCTAAAAGAGACCACGTTGAAACACAGACAATATATTATATATTTATATTTTTCACATGCGACCCTAAATGAGACCTTCATGGCTAAATATGATGCCATTTTGCCCAGAACACCCTAAGCAAGACCAAAATCCGAAATTTACACCCCTAAGCGAGACGACAAGCATCCCCACCCCTTTGATATGTGGAGTCCCCCTGCCCCCCGGAGTCTAACCTTCTTGAACCTAATAAAATATGAAATCTCTGCCAAAACTGTAACTTTTTAGCAAAAAACAGTGGCTATAAATAATGTTGTTTTAATACCTGGACCTAAATATTCAGATGTTGTACCAATAACAAGACTAAAAGCTCAGAAGAATTCTTAATTTAACATGCCAACCTTCACTACAAAAAAGCAATGTATGTATGTAAGTGCTGACCTGCTGACAGTAGCTTCAGCCTCAGCCAGTTTATCGCTTCTTGCATTTGCCACTTTCCCAATAAGGTAGTCTAGAAAAACAGTCCAAATATCCAGGCAGGCAAAGAAGCCCTCCAACTGGGGCTGAAAATACAAAAAATAAAAACACTGATAACAAAGCCCTGTACAACACAATGAATGTTGCACATGCTGTTATCAATACTGTTCTTAGTCACCCATGATCCGTCAGAGTACACACTCATCATGGCTGACAACAACAAAAAGTTGTGCCCTTTGTTTGTTCTACACGTGAACCATTTTGAAAAAGGTTGCACATTACATAACTTCATTCCAGATGAAGAAGGACTGTCATTAAGAGGCGGGGGCCGGGAATTTCCCCCGGCTACTATGAACATGGCTCCTGGCTACTTTCACAGGAAAATAGAAGAAAAATAGAACCAAAAGAAATCCCTGGCTGTTTGATTCCCCGCCTTCTTGTTGTATTAACCCGGCAACTTGAAATCTTGGTGACAGCCCCGTTGAGTAAGTAAAAGCCTCTAAAAAGGTTTAGCAAGGGTTAAGACTATGTAGATAACACGTTTCTCAACAACTTGAAAAACAAATGCACTAAACTCAAACAATTGAGTGCTGTGAGGCAAGTTTGTAGTTTTCTCTCTTCATTGTTACAGTGCAAAAAAAAATAAACTCAGTTTTTCCATGCATCTGTTCAATAATAGGTAACAGACAAAGATGCCACATGTAACTGCAGCCTGTGTGCTACATTTTTGTTCTTACCACAAAAAATTGGTAACGGACACATGGAATCTACAACATGAAATCTACTTGTTTATTATTATTTTAGTGATCATATATTAGCCTGCACCACAGACAGAACTAAACTTCTAGTTATTCCGTCTTAGAAACAGCGCCAAAGTCCTTGTTCTGGGCTCCCACCTGTGTACCAGAATTTGAGTACACCCCATGATTGGCCTGTTAACAATGCCACTGTCAATTTGCTAATTAGTTTGTGGAGGAATAATTGCATTTATTCTAAATGCACTTCTGGTAATTCGTTGAGTCCCTTGGGGGTGGGCCCGGCAGAACAAGGACATCAGCACTGCTTTGCAGACATTACTAACTAGGGTTTGATTAAGTCTGTAATGCAGGATATGACACAATTATTAAAGGCAGTATTAGGCTTTTGTACATTATGCTTTTGCTTCCCCACTAAAATGCTCCACCTTAAAGCTCCATTTTTCCCACTAAAATGCTCGGTCTCCCCAAAAAAGTCACTAAAATGCTCGGATAATGCTCATTATACAAACAGTTTTTTAAATTAATTTCAAAGTTTACACTTACAAAAACGTGCAAGTGTTGCAAGTAACAACGACAACGTGTACAAGTTCATAAATACAGCCAAAAAAACAGCTGTATTAGGTTTTTTGTGAATTTTGAGTTTTAGTCTTCATTTTCTTTAAAAACGCAGGAGCTCATGGGGCATCTGCTCCTGAAAAAAGTTAATTTCTATTTTATTTTCTCGGAAAAATTATTTTTCCGAGGAAAATGCCACTAAAATGCTCGAATAATGTTCAATGCTTTTGCCTCACTAAAATGCTTGAAAAAATGCTAGCATAATGTACAAAAGCCTAGGCAGTATGCATTACATTTTACATCATCATTAGCAGTAATGTTACCTGTTTAAACGTGTATTTGAAAAGCAGAGTCAGTAATTCCAGTACAGGAAAGTGTGAGCTGTTTTCAAATCTTCTCAGGTGAATGCTTACAAACAGTCTTAAAAACTCTGTGAACTTACTTAAATAACTGTAAAACAAAATACACATTATGTTACAGTCAACATTAATAATTTTTGATTTATAATTTTTGAATCAACATTAACACATGAACTGCTGCTTACAAGTGCACTCCCTTAGATTCTAAAAATGGACTCTTTCAATACTGAAACCACAACTCATTGTTGCTACCAGATTCATTTCTTTATTCCTGCATATGAAAAGAGCAGTGAATTCACACACAATTTAAGTTAAAAGAAAGATCTGTCAGCCTACAGCTGTAGGTTTTTGGAAATCAAGTATAATTGTATTCAAAGAAATCTTACAATTAATGCAAGAGTCTGAGAGATTTTTGAAACCAACTGAAAACTGTGAAGTTATAAGTAGTCTAAAATTCAATGCTTTCATTATGAATGCAGTAATACAGATTGGATTCAATAGTAGTGGGGCAATAGCTATCAGATTGAAAAAATTTTCAAACAGTCAATTAGGTTTGACAGTATAAAAACAGCCCTTTCTTGCTATAGTAAGTAATTGTACCCTTTATTCAAAGCCAGCAAAGCATTCTATGCAGTAATAATTTGATTTAATCACAAGCACAGTTTGTAAAAGTATCACTGTCTCTAACTGTACCATAGCAATAAGATCATAGTGTTCTAAGCAGGAAATGCATGAAAAAAGGGATGAAAAGGAGGAAAGAACAGAGAAAATATGAGACTTCCAACCCTTGTAACAATGATAAGAACCAGTATTTGCAATACACATAGATATTATAGACAACTAGCAAATGGGATGGTATCCCAAATGGTAAACCTTACCCTTCATCTTGTTCAGTGAGCATATTTTCCACAGCCTGAGCACCCGTGTCCTTTGTAATTCTTTGTAACAATTGAAATGTCTGTTGAAATAACTTCAGTAAAAACTCTTCGAATTCCACTGGTACACAATTCTTGGAGAGTAACTCATTTATACACGACATTGCTAGGATACCTGCAAAAAACAAAGGAAAATTATATTTCTTTTTTTTCTTTTTTACCAATCTCACATTTACATCAATAACTGTGATTTTTAGCTTATTCATGTCCTTGGAGGAAAGTACAACCCAACATTTTCTCTGGGTAAAGTATAAACAAACATAACTACAACAACAACTTTCTTTAAGTATTCCCATGTTATTAAAAATCTTAAACCAAAACAAAGGCTATAATAAAATGAAGAACAAGTTTTTGTCTGTATTCCATACATGAATGTATGTAAGCAGCTGTAAGTCTGTAGATGTGAGGATCGACATTGTTAAAAATGAACAAGTGAAAGCTAGAGGTTGGACTTCAGCCAAATTTTCTGAAACACCTTTACAAACATTTTTTGATAATATAATATTATCCTTTTCATCTTCTAGGTACTTCTAGAGTACCAAGGAAAATCCTTGAACCCTCAAGTCACTGCTTGTGACTGGACTTAACTTCAAGAAAGAACCCAGCAATTTATTTTTACAAGTGGTAGCACAATGAAGAGGATAATGATTTTTTATACCAATAATAGTAAAAACAATAACAATAATAAACCTGTAGTCAACATCATCACTATCATCATCACTATTAGTCTAAGTGGATTTTGGGGGCATGCTCCCCTGGAAAATTTTCAAATCCCAAAACCCTAAAAATAAATGTGATTTCTATTGTTCTCTGTACAAAAGAGCGTGTTTTTCATTCAATTTAGCTTCAAGTTTTGGTTTATTGGCCACAAAATCAACTCCTACAAGCAATGAACAAGTGACGATAATCAAAATTATGTATATCTGCACATAAGCAAATTCCACATAAACCTATAAAGAGACGTGTGAAAAAATGACTGAAAGATTGTGTTTGCATAACTAAGGTCTAACATAAACCGACTGGGTCTTTATGAAAACACATCACAAACAATTTTTTTATTTAGATATTGATACATTTTTTGCTTGACTTTTCTCTTGGGAAAAAAAGTAGCCGACGCACATTTTCAGTCCTCGGTGCTTGTTGAAACCCCTTACTTACCTAATTCTGCATTTCCCACAACACTACTGCTGGAATTTGATGTCACCACATTACAACCAAACTCCGCAAGGTAAAACACCGTAGAGACAAGGGATGGTGTAATAGTTGTGGAGAGGGGTATCCAACTAAAAAGATGTCCTAAACACTTTAATGCCATAGAACTAATTTCCTCAGATTCTGAATCTAACGGTGGCAGTGGATGCCCTAAATTCTGTCTTGATTTCATGGGTGAATTACTCAATAACCTTCCCACAAGACTACTACTGCCAGGCTGTTGAAGTGTCTGGTCTTTGGATGACGATGAAAACATGGTTAATGACTCTGCTCCAGCCATTGAAGGACTAGCACTTCGAACTGGCGACATCCCTTGAGTAGGAGAAGGAGGTGGGGTAACAGTTGTTGCAAGTCGGCGATGTTTTTCCAATACTCTGTCCAATAAATGTGTTAATAAAGAGAGGATTCCTGGAACTTCATTGAGTAAAAGTCTATGTACTTCTGTTTTCCTTGCAATACTCAAATCCTCCCTAGGGGATGCCATTTCTTCTGATGTTGTTTGAAGCATGATCAAGCCTAGAGTTGTTGTTGAGGGTTGCTGAAGCATCTGTAATAATAAAAGAATGGTTGATTGCAGGTAGATGTCATATGAGAACTTATACATGCACTATTGAAATTCACATCCTAAAAAGGAGATTAAATCAATGATTCTGAATTGATGTGAATAGAATAAATTTATATGAACTGCAGATTGATAAGAAATTGGGTCAAGAATGTTCCTCCCAGTTGTGAATGTTTATTTATTAATAAGTGATTGCAAAGTGAAATTTTTTATCTAATTATGATCCCATTGCTTAATTTACCGGTATGTCTGCTTACCTCAACGATGTTTGACAAAAAATTAGGGTAGAAGTGAGGCCAGTCAACCCTTCCGATGTCCACAATCACTTTTACAAGCTTGTTTCTAATGTACCCTGGTAGCTTCTTGTGGTGTGACAGAAGATACTCATTGAGAAATCGTCGGACTTCAGTCTTGTCCTCTGGTAGTGCTCCTATCCACTGTTTATTTATTAAGTTCTGTAAGAAGTGAACAGTAAATAAAATGACACTTGGTATATCCATCAGGTTGTCAGTAAATAAGTTGACATTATTCCTCATTCATAACCATGACGCTTCATGAACCAGCGTGCAAAGAAAGTAGTGTCCGATAGCCCGGGGCTAGTGGATTTTGCTATCGAGCTAGTGAAATCTGTTTTTAACTTGCCCGACGGGCAAGTGGTGTCCTTTGAGGAATTCAAATAACAGAAGAAGTGCAAAATCAATTCTGCTCGACAAAAAGCTTTTGGGGCTAGTTGAAATGACGTCTGGGCTAGTAAATGCCAGCTTCAGCTTGCCCGAATGGCAAGCTGTAAAAATGATTTTCTTTGCACCCTGATGAACACTCCATGAGGCAGGTGCAGGAATGACAAAAGAGAGGAGAAGTGTGATGTCAGATCACCATGGTAGCAATAATTCTGTATCTCAACAATTTTTCTTGACAGAGATGGCTATTTTATTTAAATTGTCAAATGATAGATAAGGTTTAGGCTACCGCATTGTCCCTGAGTCTGCAATCATGTACAGACAAGTCATCCATGTCAATCTTTTCATTTTTTCTGCTATATTTTGCAGGACCATGGTTTGTTAGGGCAAAAAAAATTTGATACCATGGCAATGTGATGTAATGACTTCTCCTCTCTTTAGTATTTCAGTGCATGGTTGGGCCAGTCTGCAGGTGCCCAAACATTCAAATGTGAGTTGTGTTTTTGGTAGGTTATGACATCCATGTTATGGAGATTTTCTCCAAATTCTCCTGTTTTCTCTTTGGATAAAAGAGAGAGAATAATTTATTATTGCCAAATTGCTATTCAGATATAAAGTACTTTTTTATTACAATCAATTCAGTTAAACTATTTTGGGGTAAGCAATGGGGGCATGGGTGCCTAGGAGAGCGTTTGCCTTCCATCAGTGTGGCTTGGGTTCATAATCATGAACCAATTCCTCTGATGTAGCAACACAAGTACTAACCCAATGGAAAATAATATTATTACAAAATGTGAAAATTAACATACTTGAGAATACCTTTTTCAGTGACAATCTCGCCGGCTTAATTTTTTTTTTTGGAGTTGATATAACTGATCTGTTACAATGTATGTAGCTTCCTGTTTACCATTTTATTTTTATTTATTTACCTATTTTTATTTTAGTTACTGGTTACTGTAAAGTATGTAACTGCTGACGGTGTGTAAAAGTGCAATAAAGATTTATAAAATTAGAAAAAAAACATGTATAGGCTGAGTTTGGTTTAGGTTCCCATCATTGCTCCAGTAGTTCTCCTCAAAATACTTTTGTTTGTCCTTCTCTTTAAAACTCAACATTTCTAAACTCCATTTTGGTCAGGAATAGGTAGATTAGGTTAAGAGCCACTTAATAGATGTTCTACCACTAAATTAATTTATTATTTTATTCATTATATTCTAGTGTGTTCCTTACCTCAAACACTGAAATTGCATACATCAAGACATACTGGTTTGAACAGTTGTTCAAAAAATACACACAATGGTGCCATGCTCCTGACTGCTGACTGAAATTTTGTAGTACTTGTTCTGAAATAAAGAAGTAATTGCTGACAGTTTTAGATGGCACTGATAATTTCATTTAGAATAAACACAATAAGAAGTTGCTTTCATAGGCAGCAGAGCAGGGGGGCAGGGGGGGTAGCCCCCCAACAAAAATTTTGGGGGGGAGAGCCCACCCATGTTTTGGTGCCGAAAAACACTTTTACAGATGTATTTGGCATTACCTGTGAAATCGGCGACTTAAGGACGGTGCCCACTACTGTTACTGCGCACATTTTCTGCCCATGCCAAGGTAGTCGCGCACGACGCGAAAGAAATGCGCAACACGCAGGACACGCCGACTGGTTTTGTCTCCTGTAAGTCTGGTAGGTTCTAGTTATTTCTTGTGGAAAAGATGCCTCGTTTTTCAACAGATGAAAAACAATTTCTATTTACCTTGTCAGTTCTTTGAAAACCGAAGAAGTATGCGCATTTTGCTATTTCTTCGTATGATCGATCTGACCAAACATTTTTACAGTCAAGCAAAAGTCAATTCTAAAACATCAAAAGTTATTGCTTCAAGATGTTACGATTAGGGCTTGGGTATTAAAAACTCCCTTAATAGGCAAGGATCAGTAAATCAGAAGGAAAATAGCTCTAAGTCCTCCGGTTAATCGAGAAAATGCAAGCTTACCTTTCACTCGCGTCCTTCGCGTTTTATCGACTAATCGGCTATAAACACTTTCCCGAATATTTCTTTCATTTTGTAAGATTTTATGTAATTATTCACCAGAAGATAAACTTAAAGCGTTTGAGTACATACAGATGTCCCTTTTATTGAGAGTCTGAGGCTTTTATTTGTTGAACAAACAAGAAAAAACTATCACAAGATTGTTTGGATTGCTGTGATCGCAGCTTCACAAATAGTTGCGGACAGCAAAGGAAACGTTTTCATCGTGGGAAAAATGATTAAAAATTGTTATGCTTTTTACTATTATCAATGTTATTTAAACATTTTTGCATTACTAAGCATTGAAATTATTGACTCATTGGCAGCTTGTCATGTAGATAGTATTTCTTAAGGTTCAATTTCACGCCACACATAATCTGGACATTTAGACATAGCTGCCATTTGGCTGTTTAGAAACTAAAGATGGAAGGTAAAATAAACTGAAGAATTTCCATTCTAAGACTTTCTTAGGTTTAACAGACACTGTTAAGTCTAAAATTAACATTTAGAAACAAAAAATTAATAGTGAATGATAATGACACAGAATGCTACAGTAAAAAAAAATCAAAACGAAATATATAAAATGATCATTATATAGCCCAGTGTACATATGAGCGTACATAAACACATTCGGTACAACTACCTTCACACTATTCAGCTTTTTTAAAAGAGAGCTCACGTATGGAACTTGAGTCTATGCAAATCATTTATTTCATATGACACTTGTGGCAAAGCCCGAAAGAGATAGCGCAAAGCACAGATATAAGCTCATTGAATGTATCCAAGTTTAATAACATATTCGATCGAGATACCCAGTAAAATGATAAAAAAACGACAGAAGGTTTACATTCCATATTACATCTACAGTTCAAAAAATCTTGAGGACATTTTCCACTACACAGTAGTTTGTTTACAGCAAACCGTGGATCTTGAGCTCGCCATACTACTCTATGTGCACTGCAAGTAATCTCTAATACCTTGGAGATTGCTCTTCTCCAAACATTTTTGTTAAATGTTTGAGACGGAGAAGCTCCCGTTGAATGAAATACCGGTAGTATAATTTGTTTTCCTTAGAGTCCATGAAATGTTATGCTTCACTTTCTGTTTTTGCTCTCCTCCGTGTGTTGTTGCTTTCTCTGACTGTTAGTCATTGTGGATATCCCAGAGTACTCCGCGTTGAGTGAAGCAATAGTGAAACTGACCAGGGAGGGGTTGGGGAAAATTGTAAATTACCCCCAAAGCAATTAAATTAAGGTCGAAACCAACCAATTTAACTTCTAAAAACACGTGGTAACCCCTATTTTTTATCTTACCAAATGAAAGTAATAAGCCTACTCAGCAACATCACTGCCTATTTTTTGAGGAAAGGGCGTGGAGAGGGTAACTGCTGATAACTTCCCAGTTGTGCTGATATTTCAAAAAAAAGATAATTGGATCATTTGTTGCTTATTTTGTAGACAATTATCATTGCATTTGTGCCAAGAACTTTGGGAAAAAATTTTTTATCATTTTTAAAAATCCCTATTCAGATAAATTGAGCGCAGTTCTCTGAAAAATGTGCCCCTGTTTTTCTTTTTGGATTTCAATAGCCCCTGATATGATCTACTTGTCTCACATAGTCATTATCTGGGAAAAAATACTTCCCATTAGTGGGCACCATCCTTAAGAGCACACAATTTCTGCCCTTAGACAACTCAAGAACTACCTAAGAAGCACCATGAAGCAGGACCGCCGGAAGAAGCTTGAACAACTGCCTATGGATGCATTGTCACAAATCGATAATGGACACAGTAGACACTGTGAAGATTGAAAAGAGGTTTGCTTGTGCCAACTTAAAACGCCAAGCATATTTTGGAAAATTTGAGTAGGGGTATCATATGGCTGAGTGGAAGATTAGCCCTGTGGAAAAAGATTCCCTCAGACATTGGAAACCTGCCTAGTTAAATGTTTTTAAAACTTCATTTCATGGGAAAGATTATCTTAATATGCCACGACTCATTGTAACTCTTATTATAATATGTTTTTGTATTTTAACATTATAGTCAAGTAGTTCCTTTGAGTATTTTAGTCTAACTTTACACACAATTCCTAGGAAGACCATGTAAAAAATGATATGATTTTGTGTATAAATAAAGATTGATGATGATGATGATAGCCTCAAAAAAGTAGGGAAGATCAGTTGGTTATTCCTAACAATAGACCTGTGCGGCTAACTCAATGTTGTACCCAATTCAAACCCTTTGGGAATAAAATGTTATGTTTCAGGAATTTCCATATAATTTAAATGTGAATGCCACATTACAACGCAAATACAGTACACAAAGAATCTTAAAACCGGGAGATTTGAATTGGGTACAACACTGAGTTAGCTGAATAGGTCTATGTTCAGTACCTGAAAATCAACAATCTTTCTTTTCAACAAAATAGAAATTAACATACCTATTTCTCTTTTCCGATGGTTATTGGTAGAAGCATCAAAGAATTCATTCATAAGAAGCTCCAAGGCATGAAGAGATGCTGCATCTGAAGACTGAGAATTTATGTACATTTCAGTTAATATGACTTTATGAGTAGAACTGGTTAGAATCCACATTTTTAATTAATTTGTCCAAATTTCCCGATGGGAATGGACAGTTGTCAACGGAGGACACTTTTCACTCACCAGTAGATTGGTGAAAAAGTAGCCTCTGCTTGTAGGGTACATCTGGACTTGCCTAAACTTATCAAAATGGAGATCACTACATCCTCACTGGTCAGTGAGCCTGTGTGGCACACGTCAAAAGGGGATGGGGAGGGAGGGAGGGAAAAAGTCAAAGGGGAGAGAAGGGAATGGATACCTGTAATAAGAACCCCCTTTTGTTCATTTCTGTTGCTGCTGGCATCTGCAATCTTCTGATTGGCTAGACCACACTAAGTAACTTATTGAGGTGCATTAAATTAAAATTACTATTAAAAATAATAAGAAACAACCACGATGCAGGTATCGAAAGAACTGTGGTTTATCGGCACAAGCTTTGGAAAATCACAATTTACGCCAATGAAGTAGTGACTTCACATTCAAACCTTTTTCACTTTTCTCTCCCCTTCCTGTTTTTGCACCAGCTATGCAGGCTATCAGTGTCCATAATAGGCACTTTGGCCGTATAAGTCCCTCCCAAGTGTCCTGATTTTGTTGACACATTCCAAGACACTACAAGCAAGACAACCCATTAATAGGCCACAAGCCAGTGAAGATTGTTTGATTAGGGGTGACATATATACTGAGATGGGACTGACTTTTAGGATCTCATCATCATTTAATATGGCACAGCAAGCATCTTGATCACCCAAGCACAATTTTAGAACGTAGATGAAAATAAGCTTTCAATCAACTAAAGCCTAAATACACTTTTAGCATTATGTCCGAAGAAGGATTTTCCAGTTCATAAAATCACTCATTTCACTTACCATCTTACAAGCTCACGTCATCCACGTTTTTTCTTTAGCAGTTTACGTTGGTAACTGTCATTTGTCACCAAAGTCTTTTACATTGAAAAGAAACCATAATCTTGGAACAGCTTTGGTAAATAAACCAAGCAGAGTAGCCTTTCGCCAATAGATGTCGGGGATGAAAGCAATGAGCAGATGAATTGACCTACAGCGTCTCTACGGCGACATTTTGTCGATTGTAAAATTCTCCCAGGCTTTCTTCGTCTGTTTGACCAAGTGTAGGAGTTCAGACCTCAATTTTCGCCGTGAACAAACTCTTGCCTCGCGTGAACGAAAGAAAAATAAATCTAACTTCTACTATGAAAGGAAAGGCGAGTAATTTCAAGAACGTAAAACGACTAAAACGACCCAAACCGGTATCGCGGTAGAATGTGCTCTAGCTGTGCCCCTTTCCTTTTGCCCGGCCCACTTACATCAGGACGAGGCTTATGCAAAGCAAAATTGAATGGATATGGGAAGGGTAGGTAGGGCGGGTGGACGCGAGGCTAAGGAAAAAAAGAGAGAATTGGCCGTACTCCGTTTTCACGACTCTTGCAATTCATAAAGAATTCTCTTTTAACCCACATTCCTTCTTTCACACTAAAAGGTCTTTGATGTTGTTGATTCTGACTAAGGTACCATTTCGCCATTATTATTTTCTTTAGGTTATGGGTAGAGTGGGGCGGATTTGTGCAAAAAAAATCTTTCCCCCAGATTTTTTCGAGTGATAGGGCTATTACTTGCATGTTCTGTCGTGATCTTTAATTAACATTTCTGTTTTCTGGTCTTTTACAAAAATATCTGTTTAAAGGAAGATGAAGTTTGAGGCAAGTTTTTAGTTTTTTTCAAACAAAATTATTGTCACCCTTGTCTCACAAGGTTCGCCGTCTTCTTTGCTCTCCCGTCCTGGGCCGGGTTGTTCAAAGCTGGGTTAAGATAACCCAGGGTTAGTGCAAAATTTGAATTCAAATATGAAAGCTTATAAAGTAAATTAAGTTTAGTTCTTTTTGTCAACAAGTTGATGATTCGATGCTCTATGAATATCAGAGAAAATTGTCCGAGAAAATGCTTTTGAACAAAAGAAAAAGAAACTCAGGTAAAATTTAACCCAGGGTTAAGCGCTAATCGGCCTTCAAACAACTGGGCCCTGTTGCGTAAGTTCACAAATACAATAGTGAACTTACGCAGAAGGAAGGGAGAGGAAAGAAGACGGCAAACCTTGTGTGACAAGCGTGACAATAATTTTCTTTCAAACAACTTTTCGCCAAACTTCACTTTCCTTTAGACAGATCTTTTTGTAAAGGACCGGAAAACATTGGTGTTAAATGAAGATCAGGACAAAACACGCAAGTAATAGCCCTGTCACGTTTGTCACACACAGGTGTTTTGCCGTCCTCTTCCTCCTGTCGACGTCCTGTTTCATAAACTCACTATTTATTGGATGAGGTTTTTGTGATATCCGGAATAATCAACTGAAGGTCGAGGTAAGTGTTATTGGCCAAGCCGAAGGCCGAGGCTGATTACACTTCAATACCAATAGCCAAAAGAAGATTGAAGGAACGTGACTTCAATTTTGATTAGATTTTCTGGCTGTTCCAATGTTAGCGTGTGTATATTTTCAATTTCAATTAAAAAACCTCAGTGGGAACTCTCTCAAATTTGGGTCAAGCCCCAGCCCCCGTCCTTCACTGATCACTTACAATGATCCTCGAAAAATTCCCAGGGCAATTGAATTTTTTTTAAGTCAATTAAAAATTAAGGACTTTATTCAAATATACTGAGTTTATGTCATATTACTGATATTGTGGTAAAAGTCAACAAAATGCCTTTGGCAGTTACCTGCAATCAGGCAGTCCTTATTCCCTTTTTCTTTGAGAGACAAAAGGGAGAGGACTTTTTTTTTCCCTTTGCCCGTCACTCTTCCCCTATCGCTAGTAGCCTGATTCTCAGACATCCGAGGTCGCAAAGGGCCACGAACAACCTCGGACGTCTGAGAATCAGGCTAGATCGCTAGTTACTTTAGCAGTAATTTTACATGGTAAAATAATATTATTATTTGTATTCTTTTAATTTAACAAATTAAATTTGGAACTTTTTCTAATATTAATAGCTGATTAACCATTAAGCACTTAAGCAATGAGAATGTTTTCATCCTGGACATCAAAAATAACAGAAAGTTGTTGATTGTAACAATCTCTTAGTGGTCTAATTCGATGACTTTATACTTCAAGTGTTAAAAAGCTTTGAAATCTGTAGTGTTAGATAGAAGTGTTCTTTAAGGGAAACACGTAACTTACAGTACTGTTGTTTTTCCTGATTTCAAGAATGTTACAAGCGTTCTCATTGCTTAAGCTTGTAATACTACTAAAAAACGATATTAAACTTTATTGGTATTTTAAAAGGTTTTATTGAATCTATGGTAACATTTAAGAGACAAAATCTGTTTGTACAGCCATTTTGTCAAGCTGTAAGGCATGTAGGATGTAGGATCTTTTGACATAAAGAAAATACTATTACTGTAAATCACATAAACACATCACAAATGTTTATGTCTTTTAAAAAGCATAGAACGTTATGATTTCATATGGAACAATAATTTCCTTGGCTATTCTTGTTTTTTTTCCTGTTTACACAGCTTGAGCATCTCTGAATGCAAGAGCCACTACAGCCTTCTGATGTCCGGCATATTCACGTACAACCTCAGCCTGATCAAGATTCCATAAACGTGCCATGTTGTCAGAAGATGCTAATGATAAAATGAAAATTCAAAAATATCAGGTAACTATCTAAAGGATCATAAAACAAGCTTCCTTATATTAATAATCTCGTTTTTCCTTTGGAACGTTTGTTTGTGTACCTTATGTAAGACTGTTTTATAGTGTTCATCAATTTCCACCCTTAGTGATATTATTTAGTTAACATTAACTCTAAAAAGCTAGAGAATACCACACCAATGGCAGGGGTATTTTGCAGAATGCCGAACAGCCGCTGAATGACTATGAAGTTTATTGATAAGGGTTAGGAATCTAAGTGAATCAAGTTTCTGGTCAGTTTTCCCAGTGTAATGACCCTAAGTGGAACCTGACTCACTCAGTTTCCTAACCCTAATCACTAAACATCAGAGTCAATTGGGTGTTTGGCAGCCATTCAGCATTCTGCAAAATATCGCTGGCACTACATCAAACAATTTTAAACCGGGACTGTTCACTCTACACCTACTTTTATACCAAAATGGTCAAAGACATCATGTCTGCTAGATGCTTTGAGGTAGAAAACAGTATGAAAATCACCTATGATGTTTTATCGGAATAAGAGTTGAATTGGGTGGGAAAGTGGTGAGTCTGGCTTCCCTAGCTATGAGCTTAACTGTTGGGGCAAATTTTTCCCTTTTGTTTTCGTTTTCTTACACTTACTTGTCACCGTGTATTCTTTTTCTTTTCGCTCTCCGGTATTATGTTAATTACGCTCCTTTGTTTTGCACTGTATGTAAATTTAGTTATATAGTTTGTTATCTCACCCTTTTTTTACCAGAGTTTTACGTGTCTATCAGTGTAACAGTGTCCGTGGCAGTAGATTTTTTTTCTCGGATTACCCAACCACCAACCCTTGATATCCTCAGCATTTGGTGATCATCGCTTTCTTCAATTTCACTTTGCAGTGACCTTCAGGTAGGTTTGTCTGTATTGTAACAGTTAGAATACAGACAAACCTACCTTTTTTTCGCTCTTTGTGGGAATGTACTTTTTTCGCACGTTAATAGTAAAACATTTGCTGAGACATCATGATGGTGTTGTGTTTCCTGGAAGTGGCCCTTACCTGTTCAATAACTGCCCAATTTTACTATACAATCCATGTAGCTCATAGATAGGGAAGCCAGACTCACCAAAATCCCACCCAAACAACTCTTACTTCTAAAAAACATTATCTACAAAGAAATGGAATATTAATTTTCATTATTACCTGTAATAAGATACTGTGAGTCTTCTGAAAAGGCACAGTCCCAAACCCATCTTTGACTGGTTTCCTTTAGAGTTTTGCAACGGGAGAAGTCAGCTGTTTGCCATATGTTCACTGTTGTGTCAGCAGAGGTTGTGGCTAGAAAACTTACAAAAGATAATGAAAAAATAAGAAAGTTAGTAAAAATAAAAAATAAGAAGTCTTCAGAAAACTTGAGGCTATTTAATGATAGATAATGTTTCCATTGTTTCGTATCATCACATAGGGTGAAAGGGACGTTGCTTTAGACAATACATGTAGATTTCTCTCTATTAAAAAATGACCATCACCACACAGGAATTAGATCCACAGATTCCTAAGAATGAGAAAGTATGCTTCACCCAGAGTAAAAAAGTAAGACTGTGCTGTACCAGTGCCCAATGCGGGGGAGCAAGGGTGGCGCAGTGGTGAGAGCACTCGCCTCCCACCAATGTGGCCCCGGTTCGAATCCTGGCGTCGACGCCATATGTGGGTTGAGTTTGTTGTTGGTTCTCTCCCTTGCTCCGAGAGGTTTTTCTCTGGGTACTCCGGTTTTCCCCTCTCCTTAAAAACCAACACTTTCAAAATCCAATTCGATCTGGAACACATGGACACGTTTCAACGATTTCTTATGAACTCCTTAGTGCTCCGTGGGTAAACAAATTACAAATTACAATTCCAATTCCAATAGATATGTACTGGCTCATTTTTTTTTTCAGCAGACAGGCCAAATGATGGATGAAATGACTATCATCAACTTAAACTGAACACTAACCAAGAATCAGGACTAAAGAGGCATTTTAAGGCTGCTCTTTTATGAGCTCGCGGGATTTTTGTTCTTGGATGTAGGACAGTTGGATCATCTTTAGTACCTCCTGATAAGCTCCAAACATAGCAATTACCCTAACAACAAAGACTGGAAACGTAAGGTTCCTGTGATGTGTTCAACACAAACAACCAATACTGAATAACAGACTGAATGACGTGATAGTGTATATTTCTTAATCTGCAAAACTTCAATCAGAAAATGGGTAACTAATCAGATGTACCGGAAAAATGGATGAATTGATTGTCAGTTTATCCTAAAGGGGAAAAGGATTGTTGACTTAACTGCCCTTTTTATGTTCACTGACAGCTTTAACATTGTGGAACAACAGGTCACACAAACTTTGAATCAACAGAAGAATAATACTGCCTTCAAATACTAAGCTGTCAAGACAAAGACTAACAGTTTAAGGTGAAATTGTCTAAAAGGTTATTGATAATAAGATCAGTGACACTTGTCACAGGTGCAACAACAGGGTACAGGTTCTTAGGAATTTAAAGGTGATGTTATCTAGGTGATGTCCATCTTATAGAGAGTCAAATAAAGGGAGTGGAAAGGCAGGACCAACTCAAGGTGTCCATTTTACTGAGGTATCCATCTTATAAATTGGTGTCCGTTAAGAGAAAGTTGACTCTGTTTTTTCTTGGTGTTGTTGTTGTTGTTGTTGTTGTTGTTGTTAAAAAGAGATGAGATAAAAAAAACAAGGAAACTTAAAAGGAACAACAGAACTTTTTAAAACACAACAAAGTCACCTGATTATTGACAGCTGCCATGTACGATGCCTCTCTGTCAATACTTATTGACAAAATAGAAGCATCTGACTCTGGAATCTACAGTAAAGAAAAAGACATGTGCAACTCAAATAAGAATAGAAGAAATTACCTTGGTTGAATAAAATATTGCTTATTTTCCTTACACATACATAGGTATTAACTGGTTGGCTCAAATTGGACAAATGGTAAACAAAAATTGTCATTCTAAAGACCCATTTACCATTTGTACAAATCAGTCCCACTAACTGAAATTGTCACAAAAGCCAGAAACGACTGTCAATGATAGATTTAAAGAAATTAAACATGAATTTCCTTTTGAAACATTCCTATTAGGAAATTAAAGCAGGACCACCTTTTCAGAAGTTTCCTTGTTTCCAGATATTATTTTTTCACTGGAAATGCATAGCGCTCCTTCGTGATCTAAAATCAGATTCAAGTTCACTGATAAATATTAAACTATTTGAAAATTTAAAAAAATTCCTGTGACTTACTAACTGTTCATTGTGATCAGTCTTCAGATCCCACATGTGAATTGCACCACTTTGATCCCCAACGATCAACTCACCCTACAGCAAAATATAAAACATATTTTGATATGGACAACTCAGCGCTATGCACCTCATTAGCTATTTACCACCTCATATCCAATGCGCACTCATGGAATAATTGTTAATTATAATTATTTTAAAATAACTTAGTACAAATAACCGTTCAACTTGCAGTCTGCTGGTAAATATCTAAACAAAAATAAATATTGTTGATGATAATAATAGGTTATAAGAACAACAAGAGACTTGGGATTAAACTGCATGTCCCAACAAAGCAGAAATCAAAAATGCTTGACACAGTTAATATCCTGTGCAATGTGCTTTCTGTCTGAGGTCATTGACCTGATAAAGAGCACATAAATTGCAAAAAATACAGTACAGCATGTCAATGTTTCTTGTGCAAAAAAGGGATATATAAATAAACAAAAATATTATTACCTGATTAGGGTGAAGACACACACAATTCACAGGAGCATTGACTTGGAAGACACGCTGACATTGCAAGTTACGAGACCTACCAAAGAAAATAATCTTGCTTGCCTACTACAATCTACACTGCATTTGATGCAGATAGAAGGTACAAGGTACAGGTATTCATTAATAATATTATTACTTTTTGCTGATTGGATGGCAGTCACTCATATCCATGAAGAGTTTGTTTGTGATTGACGTGTATGAATATTATTTAAGACATTATTCTGTAATAAAAGAGTCAATTTATCGTAAGAGTCTGGTGTGTTGTGTCCATGGTGGGGTACAACAGAAAAATTTGGTATTATCAATCACATTAAGGTCAGTTGGTCACTGCTCAAAGATTTAAGGTTTGAAAGTTTGGCGAAATTGAAGAACAGCTGACCCCCAACATTTGCCAACTGTCTGTTGGTAGACTGCAGGCAACTGTCTGTCATTAGACTCCAATAGACCAAAATATGAAAGTCAGCTGAAAAAGGCAACTGACAGTCAGCCAACAAAGAGCCAACTGTTGAACCTTCTGCTCAAATTAGTCCACAAAAAATATCAGATTTTTGTCATCAAGTAGCAGCATTTTTTCAAATTGCGCACAGCTTTTATTCAGCTACAAATAATTTCTTCCTTGCCATTGTCATTATGCACAAAAACAGACCTCTACCTGAAGAAAACAGTAACTATGAATATTAAGAAAAAAAAGACCATGCAATACCCAATTACCCAAGCACTACGAGAAGCAAAGTTACCTTAAGTCCCATATTCTAGCTGAACAGTCCTCACCACCAGTGTACATCCATTTGCCATCTTCATGAAATCCCACAGCAGTTACATTTTTGGAGACACCATCATAATTAACAACCTTGAAAAAAAGTATTTTATAAAACAAATGACAACACTGGTTTTTAAACTGTATGTTTACAAGATTAAAGAAACTGTCAGTAGAAGGAAAACACAACTTGAAGCATACCACTGAAATATTATTATAAACAAGTGTTGGCAACTTACTGGACTGGGAGTACTTGAATTTATGTCATACATGCGTATGTGCTGATAACCTGAGATCATGAATAAATATTAAAAATATTAAAAATACATGTATATTGATATACCAGTATTATAACACATAGTAGATAAACATTTGTTCGCTTTTAAATTTCTTTCAAACTAACTGCATGCATCTATACAAATAAAATCTGGGTAAATTCAAATGTGATACAAATACACAAATCAGTGGCAGCTTCACTAGGGAGGGGTCTGGAGCTTACCAAAAAAAACCTGACTTTCATCAGGCAAGCAAAGCAAACTCACTATGGTGCATGACCACTAACAAAACCATGGCATTATGACCATTAATGGAGAAACTAGATTTGACCATCCCCAAGAAATGTATTGTTTTACCGCGCTTTCCAAAAACACACGAATTCTGAAATTCAAAAGCCAACTGACGTTTGTGTTTTTTGCTGCTGTCAATCATCTTGGTGAATCTCTTACGGAACAGAAGTTTACTTATAATTGACGGCAGCAAAAAACACATTTATGGGGGCAGCTTTTGAACTTCAGAGTTCATGTGCTTTTGAAAAGCCCAATAAATACCTGCAGCAGCTAGTAATTGTCTATCAGGAGTGATCTGCATGGCATTGACTTGCTGCAAATGTGGTTAAAGATATTAACTTGCAAGCAAACTGAAATAATTTAAAAGTAACCTTAGAAAGCAGCTGACATTTTGCAACGCCACTACTGGTTACCTGACGAAGTGATGTCTGAGGAATGAGCACAGAACTCCATACTCATGATGGGTCACTACCACGATCTGGCTGTAGTGCTCCTAATTGGTTGACACAACTTGTTCTCATGGAACAAGCAATCAGAGGCACTTAAATCCAGATCTGGGTAACAACCATCATCAGTATCAGTGAGTTTGTTACAAATAGTTATGGTGAGTCCTGGGACTCATCCTGTGAAAAATCAGGAGTCCCAGTCGACAGCCAATGATTCCCAGTTCAAAAAAAGAGGGAGTCCTAAATTGAATATGCTTGGGTCTTTATGTAACCAGTCAGTTAGTCTGAAGACAGAGGTCAAAACTCTATGTTACATTACTGAAATTAAAATATAGTCTTTCTATTATTTAAAGCACAAAAAAGACTAAAATGGATATTCATTGTTAAACAACAGCCACAGAAATCACACGAACAGGATATTCTATAATTAAAACATCTTCAGAGCGATCCATCAATCTTTGCATCCTAAGGGATGAATGCAATGAATTATTTTGCATATTTGGGGATTTTTATGCATCAGGGTTGCAAGACTCAAGGGTAACAAATTCACTGCAGCATGGAATTTGTACACTCGTTCTTCAGACATCATTTTGTGGAGAAACCAGTGGTGGCCTCATGAAATGTTGACTGTTCTAAGGCTAAACATTCTGTTCTCAGGCTAATCGAAAAACTGTTGTTCTAAGCACAAAGCTGGCGCTCAAAACATTCCTCACCTATGCAACTACCTGACTAAAAAAGAAACTTAAAAATACATTAATTAGGTAACAAACTGGTCAGTATACTAAGCTATGATTAGTTTATTAGTTTCAGAATACGATCAAACCTTCTTGATACAGACACCCCAAAGAAACAGAACCAAGTGTCCTCATTCGCCAGGTACATATTTCCCATAATACACCCTGTGTGCCACCCAAAGTTTTGCATAACCTTTGTTTTTGATTTCTCCTGGGTATTGCAGTTGTCCAAGGAGAGATTGAAGACAATGCCTATGCAAAATTTATTTAGGGGGGAAGGGGGGCAAGGTGTACAGTCGACTCTCTCTTAATAGACACCTCTATAAGATGGACACCTCTGTAAAACAGACAGCTAGAGTTGGTCCCTACCTTCCTTACTCCCTTTACTTGACTCTCTAAAATATAGATTTAGTGAGGACTAAAAACGAAGCTCTCGTTAACTAGATATTTATAAACAAAAAATAAAATCGTGTAAGGCTAACTGGCTATGGCAATAAGAACAGCAACAAAATCAATAGATCTAATTAGCAAAGAAAACAAATTTGTACATGCAGCACCCTTTTTTGTACATTTTTTTGCCGTTGTTTTGCAGGACTAAAATGCTGTTTTGCACAACTAAAACATGAAACTTCCTAGTTACATATTACTTTTTTATAAAGGAATTGTCCTACTGTTTGTGCTCACCAAAATTTTTGTTGCTTGTGTTCCTGTTCACTTTCTTTTTTTTAGTGGCTCCTTGTTAGCCACTAGCATTTCTCATTGTCTCACTGCCGCTATGAAATTTTCATGTTTTTCTTCACACAAAATTTGTCTCCTTTGTTTTTGATCACTAGCTCTAGCTCTTTCTCTGTTTTCCACATGAGTGTAGACAACAAAAATAAGTCAAAAAAGACTTGACTTTGTTGTTGTTTTTTCTCTCTACAAATCCGGGTGGCCCTGCGATTTCCTGCCAAAAATACCTCACGTTGCCTGTGGTGTCATACCTGTTAATTGAGTTATTTTACATTGATACACCTGTGGTGCAGACGGACGGTCGGACGGGCGTACAGTCATGTGATTACCGAAATTTTTTGGATGGATGGATGACCAAATTTTGTTAGGTGTGGGGCTCCACTAGCGCGCGCGCTCGCATGGAGCTCTGCTATAAGATGGACACTCAGTCCCAAAGGTGACTGTCTTAGAAAGAGTGGACTGTATTATGGGAAATGTACAAATGGAGAATTTAATACAGAGGAGTCTGCTTTATACAAGAGATTCAGTGCCTTAGACCAACACAGCTTTCGACCACAATGGAGGGGAAAGGGGTTTCCGTATTCTAGAGAACCTCATAAAAGTAAAATGCAGCAAAAATGCAGCAAACACTGCATTTTAAAAGGATACAGAGTCTGGATGCTGAACTGTACGATGGCATATTCCGCTGTGAGCTTGCCAGAACTTGATCGCATGATCGTAGCCCGCTGTTGCTAAAATGACTTGCTCGTTTGAACCGTCTGTTTCAGACATCTTGTTTTTTCATCTATACCCATCCATGTCTCTCAATCCGATGATTTCCATGCAAAAAAACAACCGAAGCTACTCGTCTAATATAAGTGACCATAAGTCGGCAACAAACCCCGGTTGCACGAGTTACTCTTACTTGAAGGTAACTTAAACCGCTGACTAGCTGGAAGAGCTTCTACAGACAGCTGGAGACAGCGGCTTCTTTAGTAAGGGAAGGGTGGGCAGAGTTTTGAAAGGGTAGAAATATAATATAAATTCTAGCAATCTAATGGATACATTACAAAAATCCTGGTAAAGTATCAAATTTTCACTCACTATTTAAAACATTGTCAACGAATGCTCATCAGCCATTCATTTAAAATCCTGCTTATGTAGCCTCGGCAAAACAGCACCTCACCCTAGTCAAGCGCAGTTTATCGGCGCCTGGTACATCTGGCTGTGGCGATTTTCACCTTTCAAAAAAACATGGGGATCCACGGACTCACAAGTTACGTTAATTCGATTCCAAATCTTTGGGAAGATATCAATCTTCGAGATACCAAACTAGTCATAGATGGGTCTTGTTTGTGCTACTATCTTTATGTAAGTAATGGATTTGACTTCCGGTGCGGTGGGCAATACGGCGAGTTTTACCACGCGGTTGATTCGTTTTTTACTGCTTTGAGTTCTAAACGAGTCGAGTGCTTTGTGATCTTCGATGGCGCAGACGATCCAAGCGACAAAAAGCTGGAAACACTCCAGAAGCGAGCAATCCAGAATATTCAAAGGGCGAATGCTTTGGCAAAATCAGCTGATGACGGCCAGTTCTTACTTCCCCTTTTGACCAAAGTTGCTTTCCTACAGGCGCTAAGGGATGGTGGCATTCAATTTGCAGTTTGCGACAGGTAAATAATATTAAGCTTTGATAAACGCACTGTTTCGAAAATTTTGAAAGCGGGAATTCCCCCATGGTGAGATAACCTGAAAAGTATACCTGCCAACTCTCACGCCTTAGGCGTGAGTCTCACGCCTGCGGGTTGAAAACTTCGATCTCACGCTTGTGGGCCAATTTCTCACGCCAGATTGAAAAATGTGAGTTGTTGCCGTCTTGCTTGGCACAATTTCCAAAACTTTGTTAACTCAGACCCATGTAAGGAAAGAAAACCATGTGTAAAATGAATAAATGACAATACCTTCCTCGCGATCTCTGATTTTGTGGATAAGCGTTTTCTCGATAACTTCGCCTTCGGCAGACTTCCGACGTCTTCGGAAGACTTCGGACTTCTTCGGGAATCTTCGGAAATGATCGTGTCGTCTTCAAAAATCCCAGCACCCCCAGAATAAAAATCTCACGCTTATATCTCAGAAAAAGTTGGCAGGTATAGAAAAGGCGGAGGTTGAGGGAGGGGCAGTCATCTTACGGGCAATGGTAAGAAGTGACTACCCGATGCGACAAAGTTGTTGAAAGCCCTCAATTTTTTCCGTATTTTTATTCACTAACCATAGAAACTGGACGCAAACTGCGTCCGAGCGCGAGGGGATATTAGAGGGCTTGTTCACCCCTGGCCTGCGTACACGGCAGGTACAAAACGCAGGTTGCAGGGCACAGGTCACCGTGCTACAGAAAATATTAAACAACCTAACCCTAATCACAATCCAAAACTGAGTTTTAGCTTAAGGCCAAACTGCCTATATCAGTTATTTTTCAATAGAGCTCTGACCTGCACTTGTGGCCTGTGATCTGTAACCTGTTTTTTTGTACCTGCCACTGCCGACAGGCTCCCAGGGAAAAGTTGTTTAAAGAGAAGGGGAGAGACTTTCTCTCCTCGCACGGTAACCAGTCATTTCTCCCCCAAGTCATTTCGCCCCGGTTACTTAGCCCCCTTTTTTGAGTCATTTAGTGCACTTCGAATGTCATATTCCTCGATCTATAAGCCATGAAGCAAAACAAGCGCTCTTCAAATGCAACATTCCTCGTTCTAAAATAGGGGGCTAAGTAACCAAGGCGAAATGACCGTAAAGCCCTCGCACTATCCGCCACTAAAGAGCCTTTCCATAGGCAAGCACATCCACACACTAGGGACTGGTCAAAAAGTATAGGGGGGGGTGGGCCGGAGCAGAGAGGGGGTGGGTCATGAGGTTTTGAGCCTTGTGCAAGGGGTGGGTCGTGCAATTTTCAGCTACCCTTAGGGGGTGGGTCACCCTATTTTTTACTAACCACTAACGAGACAGTTGACTACACTTGTTATATAAAACACCGCCAGCTGGAATTATTGCTAAAATACTCACAAACCTGTTGTGCGAGAAAATACAAAGGTTGACAAGCCAAGACATCTATACGGGCGTGCAACCCCCGTTAACCTTATTTTTTTCTCTAACAAGCATGTCCTTTAACGATTTTCCTTTTTTGTAAGAAAATGATTGGTGGTTCTTTAAAAATTTATTGAAGTTATAGTTGGTTTTGTATAAAATTCCATTTTTTCATTCAAGCTTCCTTTATAGTAGACACTGAGGGCTGGTATTGTGTCACGAATGGCAATATTTCTTTTTCCTCCTTGCTGTTTTGTTTTAGGAGTTTAGACTCCCTTTTGTGAATTCTTTTTCTGATAGTAGATTTTCAATCAAAGATAGGGGCAACAAACGAGAATATATTTCAAAACCACTTAAACGTAGCATTGTTAAACGTATTTTTTTTAGTATTTAAACAGTAGATATAGGCATATTTTTATCCCTAAAAATTTTTCATCTGTTCGGATCTCCTAGCTGAAAGTCTTGTGATACGCAAATTGTAGGGATTAAAACTTACCTTTTCGAAAATTTCAGCCAGAAAAAAGGCTCCCGAAAATTCTAGGTGACCTTAGGGTAAAAATCCGTTAAAATGGGCAATTATACCATTTTTTTAGATGTTAAAATCCTAGGAGGGGCAGACAAGCAAGAAATTTTACAACAAATGTTCCGAAAATTCTAGATCTCAAATCGTCTTTCGAACAGATATTTTCCGAAAATTGACGTTGGGTGCCCCTGAAAAATTGTGGGTAGCCTCTGTCCATCAAGCGTTTTTTTTAAATTTGAATTATTTTCCTCAAAGGTTGTTTCTGAGCAGTTTTTTTCGTAGGATTCTTAAGACTTCTCCTTTGACAAATTCTTTTTAACATCTGGAGGGTGACACGAAGTGAAATGTGTGCAAGAAGCTTTCCGTCTGTTTGAAATGTGTCTTTGCATCAAGGATAGATTTTTCCTTGAATCTTGTGCCTTTGTATACAACCGTGTCTAAAAACGCAGTCTCAGTGTCAAATGTTTCGGTCGTGAATTCAGTAGTTAGGTGGTGCAAGCTTGCTTGTTCAATGATTTGTTGTTTCAATATATGTCATGAAAATATTGGCAAAGGAATCAAAACTGCTGTTTTTGTGCCCTGCAGTTCCATGGTTTTGTAGGTAGTGCTTTCCACTGAAGTAGAAGAAATTTTCGTTGAGAATTAATCTAATCATTTCTGGCAAGTAATGTGTAGGAATGGGTTGTCTTTGTTGAAATTTTCATATGCTTTGTGACAGATAATTTCAATATACCCTTGTTTTGCTGTATATTTGTGTCAAGACTCATAACGTCCATTGAAACAAGAAATGTTCAGTTTTTCACATTCGTCTTTTCAGTGAAAGGTATGATTTCTGTGATTTTGATATTGCTTGTAGCAGTGTATCAACAAATTTTGTCAAGCACAGAACAAGGTTTCATTGGATTATTAAGAGGAAACCGAGCATCCATGTTTTAACTAGGGGGTGGGTCATGCAATTTCCAACCTTGCTTTAGGGGTGGGTCAGTCATTTTTGTGCCGAAGGGACGGGGTGGGTCATGTGTTTTTTATCAACCACATTTCCAAATGCTCCGGCCCACCCCCCCCCCCCTATACTTTTTGACCAGTCCCCTACCCTGCAATATCAAGAAATTGGTTGATTCAGCTTAAGCAAGTGTATTTTCTTCTGCGACAAGCAGTGTAGATTTTGATGTTGTATTTGACCTAAGATGTAATCCTCTCGCTTTTCCTCAACAGTGAAGCTGATGCAGAAATTGCTTCCTTGGCTCGATCATGGAACTGCCCAGTTCTAGGCAACGACAGTGACTTCTTCATATTTGATGTAAAAGCAGGCTACATACCACTGTCTTTTTTCGATTGGAAAGCAGGTCAATTAACAGCCAGTATTTTCTACCGTAGTAAACTGGCATCACACTTTCGAATACGCGCAGAACTGATTCCTTTGTTAGCTTCTTTGGCGGGCAATGATTACGTGAGTCTGGACGCACTGGCGGCTTTTAACCTTGCACTGATTCGCATTCAAACCACGAATCGTTTTAGTCGAAGAGAAGCAAGGTTTGCAAGCATTGCTAACATGCTGTCCGAGCTACCTGACTCGTGTAACCAACAGAAAGCACTGGAGTCCGTCCTTCAAATGATATCATCACCGCAAAACAGATGTGAATTGAGACAAGTTGTAGAACTTTCTCTTCAGGAATATAACATTAAGGAATCGAATTTATTGGATTATTTCAGATCTGGTGCGGTGTGCAGCTCCCTTAGAACACGTAATGGCCACGAAATTGAGCAGTGGGTTTTGCGTCGGTTTCGTTCTGGGCTGTTTTCAACCAAATTTATGAACAGTTTAACCTCAGGTAAATGCTTACTTCGAGTGCAGGTTGAAAACTGTGGGGAAATTTCTGCAAACCGCTCTTCTTTGTGGCTTAGACAGTTTGTTTACGGTATCTTAAACGATATAGAAGAAGGCACAAAAGAGACGGGAAGTTTACCAGCTGTCCGAGAATGGGATAGAGAGGGCATGACGGTGAAGCCATCAAATGTTGCACCCTGTCAAGAGGGTGTGGTACCAGGTATAAGTCTCATGCCATATCTCGAGACCACAGAGACGCTAAACTTTTTGTTATTTGCGCTTTATAGTGCAGACACACCTGAAATCGGGGCTTTACCGCAGAATATGAAGTTATTTGCTGCATCACTTCGTTATCTTCTTAACAATGCGCAGCCAGAGCTAAAGATGAATCATCTCTTGGCTTTATTGTGCTGTTGTGTTAACTTACAAGACAATTTGAAGGAAGAGAACGTGAAAGCTACAAACCGAAAATGCTCCCCTCAATCGTTTGATCTGCGAGCAGCGCACAGTTTTTGTCAGTGGCAGTCTGTTTTGAGAGACGCTATCAACCTTAACTGCACTTTACTCGAGCCTGTGCTTACGCCGTACATTCATAAGATATACAATGGAGAAATGGCGCACAGTCTGGCGGAGAAACTAAATCAAGGTGAGTTATTTATCGACAAAACACTGAGTAAACCATGCCAGCACTTCCCCGTGCACAAGCAATACTCAAAACTATGAAAGTTAGAACAAAAAATTGAAAACTTAAAAAGGACTTTTTCAACAGATGGACAGTTAGATGGTTTGCATTTGACACTGACTGATTATTGTGGTCGAATCTTTCAGCTTGTATCGAGCTCAGCTACTTTCTTGGATTGTGAGCCGGACAAAGTCACTTTTCATGCCCTTTAGCCAAGCACTTTTTACAGGCAGACATTTCCACCTCAAGTTGACATTTCTTTTCATGTTGAATTCCTTTTCACGTTAGCTTGAGCTACTTTAATAACCTACGCGAAAAATCGAGTCATCGCAGAATACTTGTTGACTCGACGCTGGTTGCAAATAATTACGTTATGAATACTCTCTTATGTTACAGTTGCAAGCTAACCGTTACCTTTTCAGTTTAATTATTCAATGACAGCCGACAGTCCAACACTTCTACACTACAACGTGAACCTTGTTACACCTTGTAATGTTACAATCAGGAAAAAACGTACGAATTTAGCAGTAATTTATTATGTACTTTTTTTTCCAGGACGTACCCCAGAGGAACTAATTCCGTCCTTAAAACAATTCCAGTTGTTCAACAAACTTAAAACAGCAGTAACAAAGGACCTGCTACGCAAAATCGCTCCAGAAAAAAGACCACGTGAAAGGAACAATGGAAGTAAGGCCAAAGCTTCTCATGTCAAGGCTGCAACGAACACATCTGATGACGACGAAATGTTGGAAAATCGATTTGCATATTTGTGCAATTTGGAAGAACAAGATAGTCAGGATGACGACAAGTGAATCACTAAAATAATGTCTGTTGTTTGTGTTGTTTCACAACACTTTTGACAATGAATTTAACTGGGATGATCTTAATTGCGTTTGAAAAGTAAGATGCTCTGAATTAATTTGTAGAACGTAGCAAACTAACTAACTAGTGTGGCGAAATTTTTTTTATAGCGAAACCACTGGTGACACGGAGAGACGGGGATAGGGAGATTTTTCGCACGCTCGCTTTTTTTTCGCTTTTTTGTCCCTCATCGAGACACACAAGGCTGGAGATTGAGCCTAGCGTCTTCCTGGCTCGCCTCGTTTCGCTCGTTTGCACTGACCGGGGGCCTGGTACGGGCTAGCCAAGGTTAAGAAGACTATAGCTGTAACGTACTGTCCCAGTGTTTCGGTACTGGTATATTATACGTTTTTGTGTTTAGTATAACCGCGAATTACAACTTCCCTTAAGACTAATGTATTTGATATAAACTCAGGACATGGACCCTGAATCGTCCCTTGATCCTTTAAACCCCAATATCCCCATTCAAATTCTCCAGACGAATTTCCACACATTTCCTTAAAGAATTACGGAGAATTTGAAAAAGATCAAAGCATTTACTAATTGATTTTCGTAAGCTTTTCTCTTGATTATGTATTGATAGAGCGATTTTCGTATGACCTTGAAATGAAAACGCGCAAACAAAACAGAAACAACAAACAACAACGCAAATGGAGCGATTTGATTGGTTTATCGAACGGATACAAACGCGTGTGGCTTTTGTTTGGTTAAGCTTTAACGTCATACTGCAACACGATTGGCCAGTCGAACAATACCTTCTCCATATTAGGGTTTTCTTTGGCGGGAAAACGAAGACTCCATATTTGATCTTTTCGTCCATTGACTGAGAAAACAAAAAACAAACACTTACCGAAACCATTTTTCAAGGTCATAAGAAAATCGCTCCAATCACTAAGCGCAGTGAATTCGTAGTAGTACCACCTCATTGGTGAATCAAAGAAACTGTTTGACCAGGATGGACTTCGAACATATTAGCCCCAAGAAAGGCCACCCAATACCATTATTCTATTGTAGATTACTACACAAAAAATTAATTGAAGAATTTTTAAAAGGTTAAATCCAACATCAACCTCCTCTCTCCCCCTTGAGTCAGAGGGTGCAGGACAGTAGAGACCCTGGTGACATCACTGAAAACTCTTCAAGTTATTGGTTTTGTGCATGTAACTTGAGATCGACAATGGATTATCTTTTCCGTGAGATGATAATTTAAGTGCTTGCAGAAGAGTGGAGTTTCCATAAATCTAATTCTTTCACTGCATGAAAACCGTTCATGGCGAAAAAATAAATATAGGTAATTCAATATGAAACTAAAACACGCTTCAACTAGGCTGATAATTAAAGCTTCATGCGGGTTGGTATATCATAAACTTTAAACAAGGGGCAGTAAAATCAGGAAAGTAAAATGTATTGTTGCCCCTAGTCTGCTTCACAGCCGTTTTTGGAGTCGTCACGCAACGCTCCTCCCCAGGAGGAGCGTTGCGTGACGACACTAAAAACGACTGTGTAGCAGACTATGTTGCCCCCTAAGAAAAAATTTTGTTAAATTACCCCCTGATAATAAATTGTACCATCCACTTATTCATGATTGCGTGTTACTAATGCGATGCCGAGTAAATGCGTTCATTTGCAACCACCAAACCATTTCGCCGCCAACGAAAATTTTTAAAAAGCCCTAACTATACACAACAAATGAAAAGAACTTTCACGAACAAAAATTTTCTCTTAACCATTACGTTATCATATTTCAAAGAAAAGATTTTTCTGCCATTTTTTTTTTCATGTAAATCTCTGAAATGTCAAAGTTTACATTCACTGAAGCTATTATCAGTATTTAGAGTATTAAGAGCATGAGAAGTTCGACGCAAGGATCCTCGATTGACAGATTTTTATTTAGATCGACTTCAAATTCGAATAAGCTTGACGAATGAATAAAACCTGGGTAAGTAATCCCAGATATTAAACTGATTTAAAATATTTCCAAGTTATTCGATTTTGGCGACTCGACTTCTTGGTGGCGATTTCGGTGGTGGCGAGATGACCCTAATTAAGTACTGGTCAAGGAAATAGATCACTGTGTCCGGTTATGGCCATTGCCATATTTGGTGCTCTAGCTATGCAGACGGTCTTGAACGTTTTTTCTACTATACCATTTTAATCGAACATGGAGTCTAGCTCTGAAGGTAAGTCACTTAGCATGCTGTTGACATCTTTCATGAGTTCCTCCGCCGAACTACAAGGGACGAAAAATACAAAAATTTTCAGCTCAAAATGATAACGAGCGCGTAAATAACGAATTTCAATCTACTCTGATCTACTTTTTCCTTGTACTCATAAGCCCTTAAGTTTGACACTGACATGGTGATAAGGATTCGATACTAGTACGAGAGCAATCAAAATCAAGTCGTAAAAAGATTTACGGGAATAATCATGTGATAACAGACCTTCCGAGGATTTTTCAACCTTTGAAAGAGCCAGTTGGCGAAAATTCGTCGACAACGCTGCGAAAAGCGCCTTAACACTAATAAAGGTGCCGAGTTTGAGAGCGATTTGTTGATTAATGACGAAGAAACAGCTCCGCAAAGTCGCGAGATTTTACAGAGGTTTGCCTTGAAAGGGGCAAGTTTATGCACCCCACCGCCACCACCACCAAAACCACCACCCCCACCACCACCACCACTACCACCACTACCACCTTGCAAACGTTGCAACTTTGAGAAGGCGTATCTTTGCTGGCTTTAAATGTATCACTTTCACAGAGTCACATATCGGACAGGTATTCATTCTATACCGGATAGCTTTTTGAGTCGACACAAAATGCTCGCCACCTTAATTGCAGGCTATGTTGGTCACTGTATATAATGCTTACTCTTGCTCAGTTTTCACCCTGTCCTCGCTTGTTGACGTTGTCTTTGCTTCATTCTGCGGAATGCTAGAAATAGCCTCAGAGGATTCTGCAAGAAAAATGATCCAGTATATCAACGGTAACAAATTTGATAGGAAAATCATATAATCGCAAACAACATAAAATAAGATACATACTTCAGTAAGGTAATATCAATACAACCACGTACTAGACTTCCGGTCGTTTCTTGCGAATGCAATATGCGTGCGAGGTATTCTCATACAAAGAACTGAATTCGCCTACACGGGCTCAGATAGTACAAAACAGCTTTACACTGAGTATGCAGAGTTAGTGCTTCACTTTGCCTTTTTATCATTTTTACCATAAAAATATCAAAACATGTGACAAGTATACGGCTTTAGTATAACTAAGATTTGAGATTACGCTTACAAACTGCAAGCTAATTAACAAGATCCATGATGTCCATGATGTCTCCGCATGATCTCCAAATTTTGCTCTAATAAAACGGAAAGGCCGTGGGTACCTGTCGTGACGGTGGCCAAGTCCTCTTTGGAACGCGGTCTCAGTATCTGATTTGTTTATCTAGTTCCCCTTCAGCTGAAATAATATGAATAGTTTATTAAAACTCTCTTGCAGTAAAAAGAACTGAATTATCGAGTACATTTTACAATCTTAAGGCAACTATTATCTAGAGTATAGTAATTTACAGTTATAACAATGAAAATAACAATTGAATCACTTAAAAAATTTAAATGTAAAGAAGTCCTCCACTCTCTTTGTCCTACAGACCTGCTTGTTCCGGAAAAGATAATACTTTTGTGTTTTCTGCCTTAAGGTGTAGTTAGGCGCCTCCAGAAGTGGGCTGGGAAGTAGGTGGTGCAGAGCGTGGCTGGGGGACTTCATTTTCGCCATATATTTGTAGCACAAGAGTACTCTTCTATCATCTAACCTATCTAGAATAAATTTAAAATGACATAACACGGAAAAGAACCGGCTCCATGCTCCGTTTGACAACGAGCCAAAGTAAAAGAAGAGCTAAGAACCGGGGGAAGGGGTACTACCTGTAAAGGCCTATACGAGTAGCCTCCGCCCAAACCGGGTACCTTTTTCAGGCTTCAGGTGTATGAAAGGGTACGGATTTCCCAAGTTGAAGTACATAAAAGGGTGGGGAAATTTTCCTTTCCGTCTGTAAATAGACCTAAAAGTGCTAATAGAAGAATTTATGGACGTGAAAAAAGTGTGTTTTGTTTTGTTTTGTTTTCGTTTTCATATCTTAAAGACAAGAAGAAGACCTGTTGCTTGGATCCGATTCCTACAAAATTAGTTCTCGATTGCCTGGATATTCTTCTTCCTGTAATTACCAAGATCATCAACTACTCTCTCGAGCATGGTGTCTTTCCATCAGTGTGGAAAAATGCCCTGGTTTTTCCTCTACTTAAGAAAGATGGCTTAGAACCAATATTCAAAAACTATCGACCTGTCAGTAACTTACAATTCATCTCCAAACTGATTGAGAGTGCGGCAGTCAAACAACTTCAGCACCACATCAACATGAATAATTTATTTCCCTCGCTACAATCATCATATCGTAAGTTTCACAGCACGGAATCCGCTCTCTTGAAAGTAAAAAATGACATTTTATTAAACATGAACAGACAGCATGTCACCTTGTTTGTTCTGTTGGATTTGCGCGCGGCTTTTGATACCATTGATCACGGTATCTTACTTGAGAGGCTAAGGTCTGCATTTGGAGTTCGGGATACGGCACTGTCCTGGTTTGCATCATATTTAAGTGGCAGAACTCAGCAAGTTTCAATCGACGGCACACTCTCAACGAAGTTTGATTTGGAATGCGGCGTACCTCAAGGTTCGTGCCAGCAAGATATTTGAAATTGTTGGCAAACATGATTTAGAGATCCACTGCTATGTGGACGATAGCCAACTCTATTTATCCTTCTGTCCTAATGATAATGCTAATCAAGAGGCCGCCTTGGCTAGAGTCGAAAGGTGTATTGAAGACATTCGTAACTGGATGCTGAACGACAAATTGAAACTGAACGATGATAAAACTGAATTTATGATCACTGGCACATCCCAGTAACTAGCTAAAGTATCTATTAACAGCCTTCGTGTTGGGACTGCAACTATTACTCCTGTGCCGTCTGCAAGGAACTTAGGCTCGTGGTTTGATTCCAAGCTGACGATGGCAACCCATATTTCAAAAACATGTAACTCTGCCTTCTATTACTTGTATAATCTGCGACGCAACACCAAGACTCTGATTGATGCCTTTATTTCAAGCAGAGTCGATTACTGTAACAGTCTTTTATATGGCCTGCCGGAGTATCAACTCCGTGATAAGCTACAGCGTGTGCAGAACATGTGTGCTAGATTAATATGCAATGAAAGTAAATATTGATTTGTCACATTACTCCTTTATTAGTAGATTTACACCGGCTGCCTGTAAAGTTCAGAATTGAAAAAATCCTGTTGATTGTTTTTAAGATTTTTAAGGGCTCAGCACCTTCGTACTTAAGTTTTTTAATTACTCCTAAGCCTGTATCTAAAAATAATTTAAGAAGTTCTAGCGACAGTACCGTACTTACTTGTCCGAATGTTATGCCCAAGGCAACTCTCGGTGAACGGGCCTTTCTGTTTGCTGCACCTAAGTTATGGAATGGTGTGCCAAGATTTATTAGAGAATCCATTTCAGTTGACACTTTTAAGAGAAAGTTAAGACTCACCTTTTTAATCTTTTCTATCGAATCTCTTTTTTTTTTGGTATTTTTTTCAAACGTTCAACAAATTCCATTTATTTAATAAATTTATTTTTTAAGCTTTAATTATCATCTTCTTCTTTCAACTTATTAATTTTTAAAACTTTTTCATTTAATTTCTCAACACTTTCCATCAACTCAAATAACTCTTTATATATTTCAATGAGTTTTTGAACAGTCTTTCCTTTCTGTCACTATCTATTCGTTGTCAACCCAACTATAACCTCCAGTTCTAATTTTATCCCATAATTGACACTCACTAGCAAATAAAACTCTTTCTGAGATTAAGATTGGTTTTTCTTTCAATTTCAAACTCATCAATAATTTTTTTCGTAGTTCTTTTTCAAAATCTTTTATTGTTTTGACACTCATTTTCTTTTGTATCTCTTTAATCTTTATTATAAGATTAAATAACTTCCTTTTACAACTTGTCTCAAAACATTTACTTTATCATTTATTTCAAAAAGTCGTTGAAATATTTTCAAAAATCTTTTATCATTTTCAAATTGTGAATAAGGACAATACTCATAACCAACATTCAACTGTTGATAAATCTTTTCAAGTTCACCCTTCATAAACTTTGTTCTTGAACTCATTTATTAAATAAATTATATAATCTAAGTATAAATGAAAGAAACCTATTGCGTTGCGAATGAAAGAAAAACTCCTTGTGTTGAACCAAGCAGTTTTCAAAGAGATAAAAAAGGACGATTAGAATTTTATTGTAAATGTGCTGTCTGCGATCGTAAAAAAGTTAAATATGTAAGTGAAAACGGACAAGTTGGAACTGGAAAAAAATGGAAGGGGAAAAAAAAGTAAAAGGTGGTGATGTTTTTGACACTGTTGTTGCAACTGCAGCAGATGCTTTTGTTCATCATGGCATTTCTTGGATGGCAAAAAAGTCTGTTGAGATGGGGCGATATGGAGCAAGTGAATTGATGCAAAATATAAATCTTCCAAAAAAACTGTAAATTATGGAATGAGTAAAATTGTCAAAGAGAGCGGTAATCTCAAACGGGATTGATGAAATCTGGGCTGCTGATTTGGTTGAAATGCAAAAGTTAAGTAAGTGGAACAAATTGAAGGTGTGAAATATTTAGTGATGGTAATTGATGTTTTTAGCAAGTATGGTTGGATTAAACCACTGAAAGATAAAAAGACTGAGACCGTCAGTAAAGCATTTGATGAAATATTCAAGAGTAAACGTAAACCGCAAATGTTTTGGACGGATAAACGTTCCGAGTTTATCAGTAAACATTTCAAAGAGTTTCTTAAAAGAAATGAAATAAAAAATTATATCACACTGAGAACGAAGAGAAATCAAGCGTTGTTGAAAGATGGAATAAAACAATGAAAAACAAAATGTGGAAGACGTTCTCCACAAACAACAACACTGTTTATTGGGATACGATAAATAAATTAGTTGATGATTACAACAACTCAAGACATTCTAGTATCAAAATGAAACCTGTTGAAGAGAGTGAAAAGGAAAATGAGGAAAAAACTTTTGTAAATTTGTACGGCGATTTGATTTACTTAAAATCTAAAATACCAAAGTTTGCAATTGGTCACAGAGTTCGTATTTCAAAGAACAAGAGGCGAGTATTTGATAAGGGTTACACACCAACCTGGACAGAAGAGGTATTCGTGGTGAATGAGGTTCTGCCAACAAAACCCGTCACGTATAAAATTGTTGATTTAATGGGAGAAGAGATTGAAGAATTGAAGGTTCTTTTTACGAGCAAGAGTTACAAAAACCAGAGCAAGAAATATTTAGAATTGAGAAAGTTTTAAACTGTTTTAAGACGAGATAACAAGAAAAAGTTGGCACTGGTGAGGTCGAGCGGATATTCTGAGAAATTTAACTCATGGGTTACTTTTAAAGATTTGGCTTGATTTTTAAAACAAAATTTGTATTAAAAATTGAGTTTAATCTTCTTCAATATCTGAGATATTTAGTTCTTTAATATCAGATTCTTCTTTTTCGTCCTCATCACTTTCTTTGATTGACAGTAACGCTTCCATTGGCTTTAGAGGCTTGATATAGGCCTCATGAACCTTTATCTGAAGAGAATCAATATTTTTTGAGAGATAAATACTCTCGATAATGAGTGCCATTTTAACCTTGCAATATTGATTCAAATAATCAAAAGGATTAACTTTATCATTTCCTTTTGTGCGAAATAGTGAAAGTATTTTCTTTGATTTATCAGAATAAATAAGTTTTGCATAAAGTACTGGTGCGGCTGATTAATCCTTCTTTTTCTTTGTTTTACCCTTCTTGTCAGTATATTCAACCTGTTTCCAATAGAGAGAATTTGTTAAATAACTCGCCATATCTGGACCAAATTCTTCCTCGAGATAATGCTGGCAGATTTCTGTGACTTTGTTTATCGCTTCAAAAAACGATTTTTCACTTTCATTTGGTTTTTCTTCTTTTTCCCAGAGACACACTGGAATTGAATATCCCCTGAGCTGATTAGTCTCTTGATTTAATCATTCTGTGACTCCAAAGGAAAACAAAAATGGAGTCTCGATTACAAGAGCTCCTTTTTACCATTTGGAAACTTGGTTTCAATTTTAATTCGTTGATACTTAAGTTTGGAATTCTTGACTTTGTACTCCTTGGCTTCATGGAATATAATTTTGTCACTGGTAAGATTTTCGTAACTATAGTAATTTGCATTTTGTCGTTTAATACTTATAGACAATTTTTAAGCTAAAATTAATTATTCACCGACCCATAAAAGCTGAATCGACCAATCATTCGCCTACTCTGGATTCTCCCAGGTTCATACTTTCTGTTTATTGGTTATTTTTTTGGCTCTAGCAAGATACTTCTTTCTTCGCTCTTCATCATGATGAATCAAATAATCCTCGTACTTAGGATTTCCGAAATGTATTTTTTTTCCGTTGTTGAGTATGACAAAATACTTACAATGTTTGCGATTGGAATAATCAAGACTTGTAGCTCCAAGTTTCAAGGCTTTTTTGGTCAGTTTTGCAAAATCGTTTCCAGTTACAACATTCTTTGTTGGTTGAGTTGTTTCACCCATCTTTTGTGATTTATCTTCAACAATATCCTCCGCTTTTACATTTGATAAATTTTTCTTTTTAGTCTGTTTTGGTTTATCTTCAACATTTTTCATTTTACACACTATTTCTTCAACAACCGTTGTAATTTCCTCATCAGTTGAAGAATCCTCATTCTCTTCCTCTGTTGAAGTAACATCAATCACTTTTGGTTTTATTTTATTTAATTGTTTAGGTAATGAGCGACATAAAAAAAAGCCCCGAAGGGCTAAAAATAATCTCTTTCATGAAAATATTTACTGTATGGTTTATCGTGTAAAATACAACTAAATTTATGTTGATTGACCGTAAGCAATAACTTGTATTTTTTATCCAAAGATGTAACTTTTTTAAAATTTTTTATCATTGAATCAAAAACACTTTTTGGTTTTGTTTTAATGTATTCCTTTTCAACAAAATCTTCGTAACCAAACTCATAAACTCCTTCTCCTTTGCCAGAAAAATCACCATGGATGTTAGTATCAACTATATCACACCCGTTATATGGCTCGTAAATAATATAATTACCACCATCGTCATGAAGCTGGAAAAACAAACACCATATTTTATCCAGTTTACCCTTTCTTCAAACTCTCTGTTTAAATGAGAATGAAGTTCTTCATCAGAAATACCATCGTAATAGAATGGCTCATCTTTGTATGATTTTCGAATCGGATAAGCGTCTTCGTAATCACTATCAGATGAGATTGATGAAAATGTTAGTGATAAACTCATTTTTTTAAATGATTTCTTTTCTCTAAGCCTTTATTTTTAAAAATCAGTTTTTATTTTTTCCGCACCAATTTTATACAAAACGCGTCTGTTAACCGCTGATTAGTTAAAGAGAAGACAAAACACTCTAGATTATTCTTTAATCAACAACTTTGTCAAAACAAACTGGCAGGTGTTTAAAACTTCATCATGCGTCCAAAAATACTGTAAATATAATTTTGCTGAAAATTTTGACGAATATAAAATTTCATTGAAATTTTGGCAAAAACATTGTTGGTGGGAAAACCCCATTATTCTGTTGTTGGTCTTCACATGACGTCACTAAAATTCAAACTAAAAAACCAGCGATCCTACCGAGATTTTATTTTCACGATGCATTAGAGGAGCTGAAAACTAATTTGCATAAAAATTTTCGCTTCAAAAGGGTTCTTGGTTTTTTGATAGAGTACGCTTGAATTTCTAAGCTTGTGCGTGACGCGGCATTTTATACATCACGGCAAAGATAGCCTGCGCGCAGACGAAATTAAACTCTGGTTAACTCCGTCTGCGAAACAGCGCCGAAATCCTTGTTCTGGACTTCCAGCTGTGTACCCAGATTTGAGTACGCGCCAATTAGGTTGAAGGGGAATTCGAAACGCACTTCCGGTAATTCGTTGAGTCCGTTGGGGGTCCAGAACAAGGATCTCTGCGCTGCTTCGCAGACGGTACTAATCAGAGTTTAGTTATCGTCTGCACGCAGGCTAGGCAAAGAGAGCTGTCATGTAGGTTAAAAAAATTACTTATCTCAGGAAATTTTGCTATCTAAACAGTTCATGTATTGGAAAAAGTATTACTTATATGTTTATGAGTTTCTCGAAGAATAAATTCACGCTTTTGTAGCCAACACGGTATCAGATGTTTCTGTTGGTTTCCGTCCGCCACGTTGGAGCTCATCCAGGTGAGCACCAGCATGGCGTCTCCATACAAATCTCGATAACTTTGGGTAAAACATTTCTTCGGATATCTCGTATACGAAATATTCCTCTGACCTGAATCTTGGCGAGGGTCTTTTTATATGTACCTCCTTTCATTTCCCGTATTCTGGACTTTATCTATTGAACGGTTTTGAATTTTATTTTGATCTATTTTGAATGGCGTGACACTGAAAACCAGCAATTCTGTAACTGATTAAATATTAACTACTCTGTCAAAACCTGCAGGTGTTTTTACCTCATCATTTTACACAAGATGTTGAAGTTTCAGACAATCAGACAATCAGACATGATACTGAAGATTCACAACTCTGTCAAAACAAGATAGCAGGTAGTTATTAAATGATACTTTCCGCTAAAACTCCAACCTACTTTTTTCCGATTATTTCAATCATTTCCCCTGTTATCCTATAATCAATTCTCCTAGGCTAATATATCATCAATTTCCTAGATTACTATTTTAAGTAGGATTTTTTCTCAGTAATTTCCGTCATCAATTTCGTAAATGGATTTTTTGGCTGATATTTTTAGTGGGGTAACATTTTTCTGACTAATTTCCGTTTTAATTTTTTTTAAAATGAAGATTGGGATTTTAGTACGAAAGTGACGACAGAAATTAAACAGGGAAATTTGATATTATGTTGAGTTGGTCGGGAAAGCACCTTTTGATAATAGAGTCAGAGAGAGACGACTGGGGACCCTAGTTACTAGCGTAGTTACAATGTTTACCTGATTTTCTATTGGTTGGTTTTGTAATGGCATATTTGGCGTCTCCACGAGTATATAAAAGCGAGCGTTAGCGTCTCTTTGGTCTAAAAAGTCAACTAGGATTCGCGTCGTGACATCGTTTTTTTGGTTTGGTCTTAACCTTTGATACAAGCGGGA